TTGAAATAAATTGGAATTCAATACAATATCTGGAAAATCACCGATAAATTTGTATTGTACAATAATGTAGAAGCATAAATTAGACTTACCTTTTGTCTAAAGTGCTGAAGAAATAAATACACAAAATCCACTTTGTTGCTACGTATAATTATTTATTAGATTCACTTTTAAAAAAACTTCAAGCGAATTTGCGATTTTTTTTTAATTTCCGCTCGTAAAAATCCACCCGCTCATGAATATTCATGACGGGGGGTGCGGCCTGTGGAGTGACGTCACGCGCGGGACACACAAACATACATTATAGCAGTAATTGCACACTCCCGTTCCAGTTCCTGACAAGAGCAACGGCTGCTTCTCTCCAGAGAGCATTCCACACGGTCAGATATAACAATCTCCTTTTGTTTCTGGAGGCTTCTCTTGGCGAGGTAGGTCCGAGTCCCTTGACTCAGCCCAAAGGTGTTTGTCCAGTTGATGTTATGAAGACAAGCCCCACACACTTCTCTAGACTTTGTGGGGCTTATAGTTTCCGTGAATACATGAGAAGTACCCTCGGACGGATGTGGCACAGGAACAAGACTCTACGCGTTCTCAGGTCTGGTTTTCAAAGTATAACGTTATATAATTTGCTCTCACCTGGTTAAATGGCAACAATTAATATAAAAATAAATTAGTCAGTAGATTATGTTGATAAGGTAAATGAGTTTAACACGTAGGCTTTCGCGGCCAGTATTATTCATAATAAGGGTATTTGGGTTAGATAGCGTTATTTATAAATGTGTCACAACCCTCCACCACCCGACAAGGGCCAATCAGTAAAAATGTGTCACGTTCTTCTGGCAAGTCGCCCGAAGATGCTGGATGTAATTACCAGCGAAACGTCGTACTCAAATTCTAAATGTTGTGCATTCACTCTTCAAACACACCGGTGGGCTGAAGCATGCAGTAACTAACTGGCGTTTTGTCAACGTGACACATTTTTCGATTTAAAGCTTTCGTAACTGCAGGGATTCATCTTCTGGGTTCTTTCGGTAAAGTCACGTAGAATGGGAATAAAATAATAAAAATAATAATAACAGAATAAAATTCTCACGACGTTTCGGCCACAACACAAGTAGCCAACCTCAGGTGAAGAAACAGGACTGTCCAGAAGACTGCGCTTGAGTGATTGGCCGTGTCGGGTGGTGGAGGGTTGCGACACATTTATAAATAACGCGATCTCACCCAAAACCGTTATTTTGAGATAAATTAGATTAATTTTCAGGGACGTTATGAATCGGGTTTAGATTCTTGTAATCGACGAGGAAGATTCGTTTCTCGTTAGATTCCGACCAGTGCTGTTTCTGGAAGAGAAAGAAACCCGTTTTGACCATGTTCGTACATGCGTGCAAACACCGCAAACATCAATAGCTGTCATTTGGCAGTAAGTGACTATTACATCCAGCATGTGCATCTTTGTGCTAGGCTAGGTGTACTTGCATTTGTATATCCACGGCTCTTTGTCAATCCAGTCGCGTTTGAGGGACTCCTCCACGCCGTGTCGGTTGGCGGAGTTATTTGTCCATACTTCACCACGCTGGTACGTGTGGCTTAATCAAGATGCGGAACCACAGAAGTATTGTACTCTACACTACAACCGTGCGTTTTTACTTGCGCTGCCCCTCTGCTGCCCACGATGTATCCTCCGCAGCAGCACATCACACTTATTATGCATGGTGGTGGCCCATACAACAACTAACCAGGCTCAATTCGGCTTAGCTTGGGAGTACAACCGTGGCGAGACATTTTGTGGCGCGGAGCAAAGACATGCGACCCTCCCACCCACCCACCCCGACCTTCCCATCCCTCCCCGACCTTCCCATCCCTCCCCGACCTCCCCATCCCTCCCCGACCTCCCCATCCCTCCCCATCCCTCCCCGACCTTCCCATCCCTCCCTGACCTCCCCATCCCTCCCCGACCTCCCCATCCCTCCCCGACCTCCCCATCCCTCCCCGACCTCCCCATCCCTCCCCATCCCTCCCCGACCTTCCCATCCCTCCCCGACCTCCCCATCCCTCCCTGACCTCCCCATCCCTCCCCGACCTCCCCATCCCTCCCTGACCTCCCCATCCCTCCCCGACCTCCCCATCCCTCCCCATCCCTCCCCGACCTTCCCATCCCTCCCCGACCTCCCCATCCCTCCCTGACCTCCCCATCCCTCCCCGACCTTCCCATCCCTCCCCGACCTTCCCATCCCTCCCCGACCTCCCCATCCCTCCCCGACCTCCCCATCCCTCCCCGACCTCCCCATCCCTCCCCGACCTCCCCATCCCTCCCTGACCGTCCCATCCCTCCCCGACCTTCCCATCCCTCCCCGACCTCCCCATCCCTCCCCGACCTTCCCATCCCTCCCCGACCTCCCCATCCCTCCCTGACCTCCCCATCCCTCCCCGACCTCCCCATCCCTCCCCGACCTCCCCATCCCTCCCCGACCTCCCCATCCCTCCCCGACCTCCCCATCCCTCCCCGACCTTCCCATCCCTCCCCGACCTTCCCATCCCTCCCCGACCTTCCCATCCCTCCCCTGCTGCTGCTGCGGCGGCATCGCCGGCACCGCCCCACCAGAGATTTGAGCCAAAAGCCGCCACTGCTCGCATTGTTTACAACGACTGGCGAGACATCCGGGTGGGGTGTGCCCCCCCCACCACCACAAGACAAAGATCCCCCGTGTAGCCTTGACAGACTGTAGGGGCAAGTGCTGTTGGTGAGCACCTGTGAAGGCCGGCACGGCACACGAGGGTGGCCAACACCACGCCCGGCCGCCTTTGTCTCCCCAGTGGCAATGTTTACACACCGCACCAGGTACTCATTTGAGGCTGAGTCGACCTAGGGGAGGCCCCGGACCGGTTAAGATAATCGTCACTGGGTGTTGGCCGTGAGCGGGAATCGAACTCGGGGTCGCCAGGTTCGTAGCGCAGCGTAGCGTTAACCGCTCCACCACCGCTCCCCACCACCCACACCCACACCACCCCCACACCCCCCCCCTTAACAGGAGGGGCGCCTGGGGCGATGGCCCCGCCTTCCCCCCCCCCTCACCTCCTCCTCTCTGTCCACATCATCAAATCCCCGGCTCGTGCGCAAATGTGACGAGACCGGGCGCATTCCGGGCGATTTGTGTCAATAGAATTCGCGTTTAGTTGAAATCAAGGACCTTCCGGCCACCCTCACGACTGTGCAATACTGTAGTAGTCGTTGTATAAAATGAGGTCTAGTGCTGTTGGCCAGCGACTTAAAGTTGGCACCGGCACGCGAGAGAGAGGGGTGGCCAGAACAAAGCACAGTGCTGGGGATTTTTTGTTGTTGTTTTTATTACAAACCGCAACATTTGAGGGTTGAGTCGACCTAGGGGAATCCCATGATCGGTTCAGATAATCGTCACTGATGTTGGCCGGGAGCTGGAAAATAACTAGGGTCGCCGGGTTCGTCACGCAGTGCACGAACCACGAGACCACACGCACAAGCGTACAAATATCCCCCGTATAGCCTCAGCATACTTTAGGGGCAGATCCTGTTCGTAACCAACTGTGAAGGCCTTGACGGCACACGAGTTGGTGCGTCGCCAGCACCACGCCTCGCCGCCTTTGCGGCGATATTTACACATCACACCAGTCACTCATTTGAGGCCGAGTCGACCTAGGGAAGGCCCAGGGCCGATTCAGATAAATCGTCGCTGGTATTGGCCGTGAGCGGGTATCAAACGCTGGTTGGACGGGGTTCGTAGCGCACGCAGCGCGCTAAATCACGACACTACCGCTCCCCCGGTACACACGTAGCCACACACGTGCAATGCGCATCCATAGACACACAGCCATAGACACACAGGCATAGACACACAGCCATAGACACACAGACATAGACACACAGGCATAGACACACAGGCATAGACACACAGACATAGACACATATACATAGACACACAGCCATAGACACACAGACAGACACACAGGCATAGACACACAGACATAGACACACAGCCATAGACACACAGGCATAGACACACAGACATAGACACACATCCATAGACACACAGCCATAGACACACAGGCATAGATACACAGACATAAACACACATCCATAGACACACAGACATAGACACACAGGCATAGACACACAGGCATAGACACACAGGCATAGACACACAGACATAGACACACAGACATAGACACACAGGCATAGACACAGACATAGACACACATCCATAGACACACAGACATAACACAGCCATAGACACACAGGCATAGACACACAGACATAGACACACATCCATAGACACACAGACATAGACACAGACATAGACACACAGGCATAGACACACAGCCATAGACACACAGACATAGACACACAGGCATAGACACACAGACATAGACACACAGACATAAACACAGCCATACACACAGACATAGACAGACGGGCATAGACACACAGACAGACACACATCCATAGACACACATCCATAGACACACAGCCATAGACACACAGCCATAGACACACAGCCATAGACATACAGGCATAGACACACAGCCATAGACACACAGACATAGACACAGGCATAGACACACAGACATAGACACATCCATAGACACACAGGCATAGACACACAGACATAGACATACAGACATAGAAGTAGCCAATACCGATACCCGCCATTCGCCACTAAGTGACGGTGACATTACCACAGTGCCTGTGCCAGGCTAGGTGCGCTTTGAGGCCACGTGAAATGCCGAAGGCTCGCTGACAGTGAGGTCTCGGGACAGAAAGAGGTGGCACGTTGTTGGCTGAGATGACCGGTAGATGCCCCCACCAGCTGTACCCCCACTGCGCCAACTTGCTGTTTTTTTATCCGCCCCGCGCTCCGCTCGTTGTTGTGAGCGTCGCTCCTTTGCCCTCCGTTGTTGTTGGAGGGCGACTGCCTCCAACTGCCCAGTAGCAGCAGCATCGTCCTTCACGAGCCTCCTCCTCCACAGAGGCCGATCTTGACACCGCTGGTACCAGTCATCGGCAAGTCAACTCAGCTCCGCATCCTCCCGTACCGCATCAGTCCATCTCTTCCCCAGCCCGTGTGAATACAACAGCCATAGACATACATACACACAGACGAAAAGACAAAACAATCCACACATCACTCACACACACACGCGCACGCACGCGCGCACACAGCGCTCCCCCTTCCCTAAACCAGATGTGGTTTGAGAAGAAGAAGAAAAAAAACTCGTGCGGAATTATTAAAGCGCCGTGACGACACGGGCCTCGCTCGGGGAGGCATTGCCGTGAGCTGGCGTGGTCCGAGTTCGCGCCCGGGTACACGATACGTCGAGAGAGAGAGCCACGTGGGGAAAGGGAGCGACGCGGAGACGAGAGAGCAACGTACAGAGAGGGAGAGAAGAGCGACGCGGAGAGAGTTACGTGGAGAGAGGAGCGACGCGGAGAGAGGGGAGCCGCGCGAAGAGAGTTACGTGGAGAGAGAGAGGAGCCACGTGGAGAGAGTTGCGCAGAGAGAGAGTCTTGTCGAGAGAGCCTCGTAGTGAGCCACGCGGAGAGAGGGGAGCCTGGAGAAATCTCTGCGCGGAGAGAGAGGAGCCACGCGGAGAGAGTTACGCAGAGAGAGAGAAGGGAGCCACGTGGAGAGAGTTACGCAGAGAGAGAGTCTTGTCGAGAGAGCCTCGTAGTGAGCCACGCGGAGAGAGGGGAGTCACGCGGAGAGAGAAGCGATCTACGGTGGATGAATACAATTGAACCGCGTCGTGGTGGTTCATGGTCGTTGTGGTGGTGGTGGCGACGGTTACCATAATAAGCCATGTGGCCCTTGCCACTCTTCAAGCAGCACTTGGTAAAGGTACGAGGCGCGGCACGCACACACAAAGATCCCCGTATAGCCTCCAGCACACTTGGGGGCATTTACTGTGAGCGAGGGCGTGGGTGGCTAGGACCACTCCCGGCCGCCTTTCTCTCCCCAGTGGTGATGTCTACACACCGCACCAGGCGCACTCATTATTTGAGGCTGAGTCGCCCTAAGGGAGGCCCAGAACCGGCTCATGTAGTCGTTGCCGGTGTTGGGCGTGAGCGGGAGTCGAACTCGGGTCGCCGGGCTCGTAGCGCAAGACACACTACCGCTACCCCAGCACACGCGCGCGCACAATAGCAAGGACAATGATGGAGACGACCCACATGGAGTCAAAGTACTCACAGACTGGCACGAATGGTGTGGTGACCGTGGCCATTATTATTGTGTCCGTGCGATAATGTTGCCAGTAACGATGACGGTATGTAGTTGAGGACGTTTAGTGGCGTAGCGTGGTCGGCATGGGCCCTGGTGTGAGGAATGAGATTCAGGGGCCTCCCCTGCCCAACTTCCTTTCCCCTCATTGTACCCCGGCGCCTTGGCCCCTCTGGCCCGTGGGACCCAGGCGCAGTTGCACCGCCTGCACACTCGCTAGCGAATGGCTGAGGTGATTGGAGTAGTGGTGACTGTGTTTTGGTGGTATCGATCGTGCTGAGGTCGGTGTTGATACAGCTTGTATTGGTGATCATTGTATTGGTGATCATTGTATTGGTGATCATTGTATTGGTGATCATTGTATTGGTGATCATTGTATTGGTGATCATTGTATTGGTGATCATTGTATTGGTGATCATTGTATTGGTGATCATTGTATTGGTGATCATTGTATTGGTGATCATTGTATTGGTGATCATTGTATTGGTGATCATTGTATTGGTGATCATTGTATTGGTGATCATTGTATTGGTGATCATTGTATTGGTGATCATTGTATTGGTGATCATTGTATTGGTGATCATTGCGATGAAAATGCTTGGCGGCGCTCTCGTGATTTCGGCGAAAGTTGTGATGGCAGTGGCGATCGTGGTAGGGATGGGTCCTGTGGTAACGTGGTGGTAGTAGTGTTCTTTTCATAATTGTGGTGGTGTTTGTGAGAATTGTGACGATCATAATTCTAATGCTGATGAAAGAGGTACCGTACAGTATTTGCTCTTGACCAGCAGAACGTATATTGTACATGATCATAGTTTCATAGTTTATTTATTTGGTATAGCCCTGTGAGCCATTGGGCTCTTGAATCGGGTGCAACCTCAACAAACAAAAAACATGAACAAGAAAACATCTTAAAGTGATTATGTGACTGTGCAAACAGAAAATCCAGGAAAAAAAACAATCAAAATATTCCTGAAATAGCACCGTACACCAACGCTGTGTGCAAAAATCCCAGTGGGATGCAAGTCAAATAACAACAACAACAACCACAAGACAACTAAGATTAAGGCCATCAGTCTAACTCTGTACTACAGTAAACAAAAACATGGCCAAAACAAAAAAAAACGTTTTCGAAATCACCTAAATAAAAGCCATAAATGCAATGTAACAGTGATCATAGGGACTGTGACCGAATTTTTAACAATAAACTACATAAATAAATTATAACACCAAAATCTAGAGCCATATTTTAGGCCACTGAATAGCAGTGGCAGCTAGGGGTGTACAACTCCTCTAGAGCAGTTTTGAGTGAAGATCTCATATGTAGTAATTCAAGTTGCAGTTATTGGCAATAGCATTCCAGACCCTGGGGGCATCAATAGCAAAGGCCCTTTCTCCGGTTTTTGTACGGCAATAGGGAATGTAAAGCTGGTAGATGAGCAAAGACCTGAGGTCAAATTTGTTCTTTGAAACAGAGAGGAGATCCAGCAGGTAGTCTGCGGATTTTTTTGTAAGTACATCGTGAATAAATAAGATCTGTTGCACAAGCCGTCCAACATTAAGAGATGTTAAGTTTGACCCAATGTAGAGATTACAGTGGTGAGTCCTATATGGGCAATTCAATGCAAATCTTAAGTCCGATGATGATGATGAAGGGTATGGTGGCAATAACCGTGATTAAGGTCCTGGTGTTGATGGCTTTGCTAATTCTGATGGGGTTGTTGGAGCTGAATGTTCTTGCAAGAACAGAGGATGGTGGCAGGGAAGGCTTAGGTGCAGGTGATTGTGATGGTGGAAACGACTTTGGTGACCGCAGTGTTGGCAGTAGTAGCGAGGGTGGTGTGTACTCTACATGTGTAACGCGTGTGTGTGTGTGTGCATGCTTTAATAATGCATCTGGTGTCCTCAACACTAACACTGCTTGAACACAAAACACACAACGCGCACACACACAAACAACACCCAACAACCGCCACCACCACCACGACAAACACTACGACAAATACAATCGCAGCTCTACGCACACCTCTGCCGCAAGATGGCAACTGCCCGCAGCAGGCGAGGCAGCGGAAGCAGCAGCGGCAGCAGCAGCGACATTGGCGGTGGTGCCGCCAGCTGCAGCGGCAGCAGGAGAAGTCTCCTGCCTCCGGCAGTCGACGTCAGAGCCAAGGCCTTCCTGAGCCGGACAACACAGACCGACGCAGCCCTGGACCTGAACCTGTTCACCCCGCGTCGCCGAGTCATCACCAAGGACGGCCGCAGCAACGTGCGCTTTGGGAACGTGCAGGGCCGACGCTCGCTCTACCTCAGCGACCTGTGGACGACTTTCGTCGACATGCGCTGGCGCTACAAGCTCGTGCTCTTCAGCGCCGCGTTCACCGGCACGTGGTTTGTCTTCGGTCTGCTGTGGTACCTGCTCGCGCTTTGGCACGGCGACATCGGCGTCGCCGCGTCACCTACTCCGATGCCGCCAACGTCGGAGGCCCTGCCGTTAGCGTCGGAGCTTGGGGGGGACGCAGAAACGGAGACACCGCTGGTCCCCGGAGGAGCCTCGAACCACACACCGTGTGTGTCCAACGTGGCAACGCTCACGGGCGCGTTTCTCTTCTCGCTCGAGTCCCAGACGACCATCGGCTACGGCTTCCGCTGCATCACGGAGGAGTGCCCGGCCGCCACGGCGCTGCTCATCGTGCAGCTCGTGCTCACCACCATCCTCGAGGTGCAGGCCTCATGCACTGCTGCTCACCCCGACTGCTGCTGTTCTTCCATGCCATGTCATGTGTTTATTGGGGAAAGCGTCACTGAGTATCCGGACCATTTTTTGTTATGGAGGATCCTGCATTGGGATGTTTGTGCCAATTCTGTTTTCCACCAATGTGCGTTTGGATTTTCATGAAAGAAAGTTGGAGTAACCGGAGAAATCCCATCATGCTTGCGCAAGGATAACAACACACAGATGGGTGCATGCATCCACTTGCAATTCTGTCATGTTATGGCCACCTTGCAGCCCTGGTTTGTAAATTTCTAATATTTTTTTGATTTACAAACCCATACCGCTATAACACTGGATAACAGGGATGTGCAATGCTGAGAACCTAAGGGTAAAGGCTCCGACTCTGACATAAAACAGTTTCATTTTACAGTTTTTGTTCTAGTTGTGCAGCATGTTTTGAGATGAAGGGTCAAATCGTAGTTCTCACAAAGCTTGTGCATCACCCCGTGTATTAGAGAACAGTCAGCAGAAGGTGATAAAACATTGCTCTGAAATTCCTCCAACGGACCTTATTCACACAAGGAGGCACACTTTCCCACACCTTACAACACATAAATGTTCATCACATGGCAGTCAACCCCATGTGGTTTTAATTCACAAAGCTGGAAATCGAGGCAATTAGGTGAAAATGAAAACTTAACGTAATATTTGTTTTTACAGTCACTTGGTGAACAAACTAAGAGCATATGACCTCTCTACACTTGAGGACCCAGGTCTGGGGTGGTGACCCAGATTCGAACCCGAGAACTCCATGGAGCCAGCTGGGTGCTCTTCACCCTGAGCCAGTCAGCCACCTTAATCAATTCATAATAAAGGTTTTTGGGTTAGATCGCGTTTATTTATAAATGTGTCGTAACCCTCCACCACCCGACATGGCCAATCAGCAAAAAAAAGGTGTCACGTTGACAAAAGACAAATAATTCACTACTTTAGCCCACCGGTGTGTTGAAGAGTGAATCCACATTTACAGTTTGAGTACGACGTTTCGCTGGTAAATACATCCAGCGAAACGTCGTACTCAAACTGTAAATGTGGATTCACTCTTCAACACACCGGTGGGCTAAAGTAGTGAATTATTTGTCTTTTGTCAACGTGACACCTTTTTTTGCTGATTGGCCGTGTCGGGTGGTGGAGGGTTACGACACATTTATAAATAAACGCGATCTAACCCAAAAAACTTTATTATGAATAATATTGGTCGCGAAAGCCTACGTGTTAAACTGACCTTAATCAATGTTGCGGCTCTTAAAGCCAGCGCTACGCGTCTTAACATGCGCGTCACTGTGTCAGCCAGGGTGATGTCTGTGATCACATGGTCATCCGCGGCGGCACTGTCAATGGCAACGTCCTCTACTGTATCAATGCCTCGCCCTCCCTGCGTAGGTGTTCGTGACCGGCGCTCTTCTTGCCAAGGTTGCACGTCCAAAGAGCCGTGCCGAGAACGTCCGCTTCAGTCGGCGCGCCGTTGTGTCGTGGTACGGCAGCGGCGGCAGCGCTGGCCAGGGCCGCCCATGCCTGTCCGTGCGTGTGGCCGACATACGGCGCCGCGGGCTCTTGCTCGCGTGCCGCGCTACCGGAAAACTGCTGCACTCGCGCGTCACGGCCGAGGGTGAACCCATCGCCCTCGAGCAGGCCAGCGTCGACTTCCGGGCCGACGCTACCGGCGTCGACGATAGCCCCTTCTTGGCACTGCCCATCACGTTCCGGCACTTTCTGGACACTCCTCGGAGCCCCCTGAGCTGGCTGCTGGACGAGGGGACGCAGCGCGGCCCGCGTGAGCGGCCACTCGGGAGCGAGCGTGGGCTGGTGGGGCACGGCCACGGGCGAGGGCCGCTCGGGGACTTTGAGCTTGTGGTGTTGCTCAGCGCCACCGTGGAGGCGACGAGCGCCACCTGCCAGGTTCCCGCACGGTGGCAGTGGCGGCACTCTGCATGGGAAAATAAAGCAAAGGCTCTCGGGTGCCGTGCAGCTCAATAGGCCCCAGATTCACGAAAGAGGGTTGCGTCAAATAATTGGCTCAATTACGGATAGCAAGATAATTAATGTTAGCACCAGTTAATCTATCTTGCCTTTTATCTTACCTGCATCTCTCCTCTCATCTCACTACATCTATATTTATGTCTTATATTTTTCTTATCTCACTCAAATCTACATCTGTTGTCTACATCTCTTCTGTCATCTCATCTCAGTACAAGAATAATTTCTGCTCAGGGCCCGCAGTGGGCCGGTATCACTACTGCCATACACTACCACTACTGTCAATTCATCGGTGCATCATAGTCGTCATCATCATCACTGTATGTATTTTGAACTTAGCTAACCATGCTTATCAGAGGTGCGGGGGAAGGACAACAAACACAGTGGCTGTGGGTAGCCTCATCGTCACCTTGGGAGTTGTGGACATGTTCACAGTAATGTAAACTATCTTCAGCATGTTAAATTCAAAGTGATGTTGGGCTGTTACTGTGGCCATGGCCATGGCCTTATCGTTTTAACCCCCATGTGAATGCACATCCCAGTGACTTTTCAAAACCATCTCAGAGCTGTGTTTTGTTTTGGACTTAGATGTCTTTCATTTTCGCTGTCTGAAGTAAAAAAAGAAAATGTTGATCGTTTATCCGTCATGAATATATCCGTAACTATATCGATATCTCTGGGACACTTCTGTCTTGGTTACAGTCTTACCTCTCAAATTGCTTATTCTACAATTCCATGCAAAGACTGAGTGAACTGCAAAACCACCACCATGGTCTCCATGATTCTCCATGAACTCACCACCTCCTATCTCTCCACTTTCATAATCACTCCACTCGCCACCAGATAATCTCCACTCGGGCATGAAAGGCTTTCTCTCAAAACCCTCCCATCAAATTCCACTCAGGTGGTGGTTGCTCCTTTTCTGCTGCTGCCCCATGGTCTTCCATATCCAAATCCATGCTGTAGACTCATTGGTCCCGTTTAAATGGAAGGTCAAGAGACCTTCCTCCCATGCTCATGACTCTCTTGTACCTATGCAGTATATTTATTCACTCAATCACTTAAACAATGTACCTCCCCGTTGGCAGTTCCCCGTAATTCAGTGTTTCGAGATGCAGATGCATTTAGATGCTCTAAAAATCCAAACATGTATACACAAGGTTGGTTAACCTCTGGAATAAGTGCTACATTATAATTTCAGCTTGATTTATCGGCACTGTCTGCGACTGCCATTACATTCACCTAAGCTGATGACGTGATAATGTTGATGGTCACAATGATGCTGATGATCACCATGGTGCTGCTGATCTTGATGATAAATGTGGTGTCGATAATGATGTTTGCTCATGACGCTGACGGTGACAATGGTGCCGATGATGTTGGTGGTGACGACGTGCAGGTGAGAACCTCATACCTGCCCGAGGAGGTGCTCTGGGGCTACGACTTCGCTCCCATCATCTCCCTCTCCCCCAGCGGGAAGTACACAGCCGACCTCTCCCGGTTTGACGAGGTATAGTTTCCACCACATTAAAGGCATTCTGATGTTTCTACCCTAACCCTTCATGTCGATGCACTCGTGAACAACTCCTCTGCGAATCCACTACTGGGTGAGGGCCTCTGCATCCCTTGCGGGCTGTGGGGGTTACTTGGCTATATTCGATGATGCTGGTCCATGTGGGTTGGTGAAGGCAGGATGCAAAGACATGTTCGCATAGAAGAGTGCTTCTCAAAGTGTGGCCTCCGGTTCACCAGTGATCCGCGACGGTCCTCCACGTGGTCCGTGGGTTGATGCAAATGCAGGTTGATAGGGAAATAATGACAATGTTTATACCTTTTGTTTTGTACATTAATGAACATTTTACTTATATTTAATTTTTTTAAAATGAAGTTAGGTAAACTACCCTGATTAGACTCCCATAACCCTACAATCTAAATGTCATGAGGGGTGGGAGGCTGTGTAGTCCGTGGACATGTTTGCATCGGTTGAGCGGTTGGCGGGCAAAAAAATTGGAGAAACACTGGCGTAGAACAGGGGTCACCAAACTACGGCCCGTGGGCCGGATGCGGCCCGCGGGACGTCAGTCCATCAGGCCCGCCGACGGTACTTGAAATTGGTTGATAAAACGTATGGAACACGAGACGTTGTGATACAATTTAAATATGTTTAGAATACTAGGAGATCTTCACGCGTGCGGAGACTTCCTGACTGCTATGTTCCTTAAATTTACTATTTTAAATTTTAAATTATTGTCTCTAGATTTTCTTGTTTATTGTAATGTTTGCTTATTTCGCGCCATCCCAAGTACTTCCTCGGCTCGTGGTAGCTCCGCCTACGCTCTGACGTTACCATGGTTTCCATGGCAACGTCATGGCAACACGTTACCATTGTTTCCATGGCAACGTCATGGCAACACGTTACCATGGTTTCCATGGCAACGTCATGGCAACACACACAAACACGCATCTTTCCCGCCCCCAGATTTTCCAGCTGTCAACACAGGTCCGACGCTCCAGAAATATTTATTTATTATGCGGCCCACGCTCGTCATTCTTTCAGTTATCCAGCCCACTGTGAAAAAAGTTTGGTGACCCCTGGCATAGAAGAATAGTACATGTCAATGGAATTGTTTGCACTGCCTCCTGCTGCCCACAACATAACCCTGCAGCATATGTAATAGATTTTGCATGGGGTTCGCCTAATTAAGTACTATCCAGGTTCAACCCCACTTAGCCGCAGAGATCTGATGAAGTCGGGCACATTCTGGGTTATTTGGTTACAGTATTGTCATTCTTGCTAGGGTGCCTTAGTTTGGCTCTGTAAATCAGTGTGTTACATGAATTTTCAGAACCTAAATATTGTCTTTGACCTTTGCAACTGGCGGGGGGAGGGGGATAACATTTATTAAACATGCCCAACGTGAAGCTAATGATTACTTTTCAAATTATAGATTTAATTGTGGTGCTCAAAGTTTAGCACACACAACCCCGGGTGCTGTGTGATGGTGAGCACGGCACATGATCGCATGTTCCTAAGATTTTAGATTCCTATATGTTGAATGTATGCACCATCCTGCCAAAGTAAATTCCGTGTCGGTGTGAACTTTCATGGCGAATAAAACCCTTTCTGATTCTGATGATTAAATTGAGTGAGTATACTGTAGTGTGTTAAAGGTCTCAGTTCGCTAACCATTGACTGCATAAGAAAAACACAATTTTGTTCGTCACTTAATTTGGCTAATTCCAACTCTGATATTTAAGTTATATATATGAAAAGCTTAGCAGTATGTACAATCATGGGTTAAAATTGAGCGAATACATTAACAGAATAGTTAGATTTACAGGAATTGTCATGCAAACATTTGATGTAAGTGGCTCGAGTGGTTACACGTCACACATTTGGAGTTGATCTCGTGTAAAAACAAATAACTCTGCTTTAAATCCTTTGTCTCATTCCATGGTGCCAAGAAGAAGATTGAATACAATTATAATAAGAAACTGAATTAGGTGCTAAAATACTGCCGGTATGTATGCTGCCATCTGTAATACCGGCAGTATGCAAAGTACCGCATGCTCGTCGAATGAAAAACCAGATGCTGCAGATTCAGTTGTAATTGTGACCACGAGCAGGAGTGACGTCTCCCTGTCGCGTCCGTGTCTGCCCCCAGGTGGTCCACGTGCCGATGCCGTGCTGTGTAGGCGAGCGACACGCGGCGCCGCAGCCCTCGTCGTTGCCGTCACCGCCGTCGCAGCCCCTCCCACCGTTCCCTCCACCGTTCCCCCACGAAGGTGGCCTCAGAACCAACGGGGTGGCCTCGGGCCTCAGGGAGGGCGGCGCGGACTGTGAAGTAGTGCGCGTCAGCAACGTATGAAAGTACTCCACCCCTGACCACGAGTGGCAACGTCGTTGATTATACCCCAGCTTCCTGCCCCACCAGATTTCGTAACAGAGCAGCCACTGTCAGAGGGCAGTACAACTTTCAACAGTTGCGGTTAATGGTTGCTCAAGTGTTTATGACAAACTGACGTGGTGTGGCGTTATCTTGAACAATAAAATGTGCCGATTATTTAAAGGTGATGCTGTAAACACCAGGAACAAAAATTAGCCGTAAACTGAAAAGGTCACGTGCTAATATAGATGGGAACCAGTGCTGAACACTTTTGAGGATGGTGCACACAAGTCAAACGCCAGTCTTATGTCTAATAACCAACCAGCCACCAGTGACACCCATGCCGCTTACTCAAACCTAGCTCCGCCTCCAGTGCTTTGCCAGGCCCTATTTAGAGTTTTTATTCACGTTCCAGTTTTGGTGTCCGCAGTACGGATTTGCCACCAGCACCACCCCTGGTGACGCAACTTACCACCAGCACCATCCCTGGTGACACTAATTGCTGTCGCGTACATTTCCCGATGTCGGCTCTCTTTTTACCGGTGCCTTTAAGGACAACATCTTTTGGTTGTTGCTGCCGCCTGCCCCTGACCCCTGCTGACTTCTCGTGGAAGCTACGGGGCTGCCTGCCACTGCTGCCAGTTTGTTTGTAATTGGGCAACCACCGTCTGCCACTGCTGCCGGTTTGTATTCACGCCAAAACTCCTGCTGGCAGCAATCTGCTATGCGTTTGCCTCCCTGGTGCAGCTGCCGCCAAGTTTTGATCCCGGCGTCGCAGTGACTGGATGAGCTGGTGGAGGGGCGCAGTACAGAAAGTAGGTTTCAGAGCCAACGAGGTTGTAACTGTAGGTTGCAGTAGCAGCAGATTAACGGCATACTAGCACTTTATACTTCGCCTAATACGTGTGTACATGCACGAAAATACAACATTGTCCAAACATCCCAGACTAGCTTCTGACCATTAGAGCCTTGAAGAATCTGCGGTTTGGCTGGGGAAACGATTTTTATATATTCTCAATATCTCGACACAGAATGTCAAGTCACGCATGGGCTTGATGCTTTCCTTGGTTGTACTGTAGATCACATACGGGTGTTAATATAAATGAGATGTACTTAATTTAAGCATGCAAAAACATACTCTACATGCCTACATACAAAGCGCATATACGCTTGCAAGAGCTCAACACAAATTTTTGCTGCTTCATAGGAAAATCTGAAAATAAAATATTGTTAACGAGCAAACAAGGGGATTGTTTGAATGACTGAAAGGATATGAAGGATGGCTCGGTATTCACTACGTCCAGGTACCTCGCTGAGGCAGAACGCCTGAGGTAAAGTAAATGCGTAATTGCAGGATGCTAATTGCGGCCGTGTTTATCTTTCGTGGGTAAACGCACAACATTGCACAAGACAAAATTGGGCAAAAGGCACCCAATGTTACGCGTGTATGAAAAGCACTGAAAGGATGTGTTTCACGTTATCTTTAAATAAATCCCATTTTTTTTACTGATATAAAACCGCCCTAATATCGTAGCCCTGATTATGACTGGAAAACAAAAATCTACGTTTAGTGGATTCACGTTTTGGGCAACGATCCATTTTGGAGGAAAGTTGTAAAATACACAAATAGAATGTGATTCAACTGCAATAAAAAAACGTGCGCCTGAAAAAATAAAATTTGGCTTAACGGGATACCAAATATTCACGTTTCTGCCGAATTTATTAACTTGTTTATTTAATTCCCGCTTTGGACGACACAAACGCATTGTCTTGAAAGTGGACAACTGCAGGATGCAGTTTTAGTTTCGTCATCACGATCATTGTCACCCCCCCTCCTCCATCCCCACTGTGTTCTAAGCTGTAGAGGTTGTACATGCCGTCTAAAGACTTTGTAAGGTTGTGGGATTGTCGTGTTGAGTCTTTACGACCTCTCTGGGTTCATGTGGAGTTTCCTGTTATTGACAGTTACTTCACTTTCGGTTCCAAGAAGGGGAAATGGTTAAATTGTACATGTATAAATAAAACCTTCCTCATAAACTGCGTCCTCAATGAGTACAACAATAATGAAAGACTTGATAACATGGCAAGTTCGTGGGATACATTTGTCAAAGGAAGTAGGCCTAATGTATATACGTGTTTCTATTATAAGTTTGCCAAGCCATTTTCCACTGGAATAGGCAGAACTCATTCAAGCAGACAAACGCAGTGGCCGTGTGTGATACATGTCCGCCAAACGTACATACACGTTCACGTTCGGCACGATCATCTCATAGAAGCAAATAGGTGCAGTGTGGAATTGAGAAGCATTCGGCTGTTTCCCGTCCTCCCTCCTTGCCCCCCTCCCACTGGAATAAACCCCTGTAGATTAAGCAGTCCCCCTCCTTGACCTTCCGTTCCTCTGTTATAGCTCACCTCAATTGCCCATTCTCCTCCCTTGCCCATCCCTTCTTTCCGGTCCCACTCGCTCCCCTTCCCTCGCTCCTACACCACCCCCTCGACCGTGGTCACCCATTCATCATGAGCTCGCCGGCGTCAGTGGTTGTTGGCATCGGCGACTGTGGGAAGAGGCCTGACGACACTCTGGACCCATCCGGTGGCAGAATTGCCGCAAGGTGATGGGGCACCGCTCTCAAGTCTCACTACAGCGATCAGTGAGTGAGTGTTTGGAGGGTAAAGAGCAGGCGAGTGGATGGGATGGGTGGCATTGGATCTTATTCTGGCAATTCCTGTCTTCGTAGCCAAACTAGAAGCGCCTGTAAGCGAAGTAATTCATAACTTTCGTCACCGTGCATGAATATACTGTATGTAATTCCATGTTTTTTTGACAAGCCGGTACAAGCCCATCCTACATGGGGCGATCATTTTTAGTTTCTCGTGCAGCGAGACCCTTATATGAATTCTGTCGGGGCTCATCAACATACACAGTGGTATCCCTAGGGTCTTTATCCACAAGTCAGGTTTATATCGGACTCCGTGCCGGCAGCTACCAACGCAGCGTCTAGACCGGTCTGGAGCTCGATACCGGTCTAGAGCCACGTGTCTACAACATCAGCCGGCGGATGTCTGCAAACTGGCTCAAAATCAATCCGGAAAAACACAAATGTAATCCGGCTCGATACGAGACTCTCAAATCAATCTGCCGCTCAACAGTAGTCCCAAAGTTGAGCTCGGTCAGTATTCAACCATCAGTGTTCACAGAACCTTTTCCCAGATCCCGGCCTCACCCGACGCGCCTCCGCAGTCAGACGCCCGTGCTTTTTACCCCAACTGCATCTGCTGCAACGGCATCCGACGTTCAAATTAACCTCCGACACGGCCATCACGCCACGCCAGTCAATGCGTGCATCACCAGTCGCAGTGACAATTGGGTTACTGAACTCATCCGCACGCCTTCTAACACCCAGCGTTACGACCACAGGCTTCGTCCACCCGTGCGTGACCAACTGCACCAGAGCCAACTTGCCTGACCGCCTCTGTCACCGTTCCTCGAATCTGGTGGAGATGTTTGTAGCAGTGGTCAACAAAGAACACCATCGATAGCTTCGGTCCGCTGAGTGTGGAGATGGAGTCGCGCCACCCAATGTCAGATATCTCACGCGTCAAGCACTCCATCAACATGTCACGTCAAGAGATTTAAGGCCGAGGGGCGGAGGACGTTTTCACTGCAGGAGTTCTGGAAATTTCCTGCTGATGCTGGTTGTAACTATATCAGCGGAACGTCGAACCCAATTGTTACTTGTTGGCAATTGCTCTTCAACATACCTGTGTGCTGAAGCAATGTTAAAATTGATTGCTTATTTACGTGATAACTTTATGAAGTTGGCTGTGTCGAGGGGAGAATGTACGACACACACTGATTGCCATTGTAGTCACGCATTCTGTATCACAAATTATGAATCATAACATTGGTCGTGAATCCCTACGCGTTAATTGAATGCTCTACTTTTGACACATTACAGGTGTAAATAAAAAATACGTGCCATTATATTTGCATAATGTATGTTTAATAATCGACAACATTAAAATGTATATATAACATCCACACTGGGCTCCATTTATTTTAAAGGTTCTATTGGATTCATCTGCTGGATACATTGATGGATCTGTTGACCCCCCCCCCCCCAAAAAAAAATTATAACGTAGCCTCAGAAGCACCTCTTATTTCCTCTTTAAAAATGCCAGGGTTTGATTCGCTCTGTGGGGGGGGGAAAAACTGCCTTCTCGCCGGCTGCTCCCCTCGCTGTGGACTCTCTATCATCGCATTGGATTGGGGAATGAAATATTTTCCGACCGCGAGAAACCTCCGTCCACTCCTGAAACTCAAGTTCCTTCGTGGATGTGGTGGCTGCGATCAATATTGGGCAGAGAAAGCGTGAGCCCGAGTCTGTGTGGATCGTACTCGGGGCTCCCGTTCACTGATTGTGTTTGCTTTGTTAAACTACGTGCTTTGCTTTTATTTTTGTTCATAAAACAATGAAGTCACGTGTGTTTTTTGCGTTTTCGACCAATTTCCTATTCCTGTAACATGTGTAGCATGTCCAGGTACTCCCTATATTTGTATCGATACCAATATGTAACCATGCCTGTGAAACTAAGATCTTTACCGTACATCTGTACCATAACAGGATGCTCACGAAATAGGGCCTCATTGGGCCATTTTGATGAAATAAAATTAATTAAATCTCAGTACAAAAAATACAGCATATTTATGTTTGATAATCGACAACATATTTAAATGCGATATATTTACGTATGTTTGATAAATGAACATGTTTAATACTTCTTGATTAAATGTGTCCTCGATTATAATCGTATGTTTTATAATTATCAAACATACATTATTTTTATTTATATTCTTGGTTCCTTCGGTAAAGTCACGTAGAAGGGAAATAGTAAAATAATAAAAATAAAACAATAAAATTCTCACGACGTTTCGATTGCAACACAAGCAAGCATCATCAGGTGTGAAAAACCACAGCAAGAAAATTTGAAAAAAATACATTCTTTTATATAGTCGATAATTATGAAACGTATGATTTATCAGTTATTTTAATGTATTTAGCGAATGCTTGACACGTGACTTTTATTTTAATATGGGCACATATGTTGTTTGTTGCACATATTTTAATATAGTTGAATATGTGCAACAAACGTTATATTTCTAAAATTTGGAAATCACGTAATATGTTATCAATAATTAAGGATATTACGTTTTTTCAAATTTTCTAGATAACTGAGAATGTTTCAAATAAGTTCATTAAATGTCGATTTTTTTACATACATATAATTAAACATAGCAACAAATATTCCATAAAAAAACTGCAACCCTTTAGATAATGTTAAAAAATAATAAAATGTCAGAAAAATTACACAACCTTCGCATCGAATTCTGCCACGATATAACTCACGACATAACTCAGGATATAACTCAGGATATAACTCAGGATATAACTCACGACATAACTCAGGATATAACTCAGGATATAACTCAGGATATAACTCACGATATAACTCAGGATATAACTCACGATAGAACTCACGATAGAACTCACGATATAACTCACGCAATTCGTTGTGCGTTTTGGCACGAATGTGCGAGCCTCACAATGCATGCTGAAGTTTTTTTTCCAAACTTCATGAAAGCCCTCAAAGTTAATTCGCTCTTACAAACGAAGCATCGAGATGCCTTACAGGAGTCTAAAAAATGCCCCAGTGGCTGCGCTGCTTCAATCAAGGCATAGGTTTGTATTATCTCTGGTTTGTATTATCTCTGGTTTGTATTATCTCTGCTTTGTATTATCTCTGGTTTGTATCATCTCTTGTTTGTATTATCTCTGGTTTGTATTATCTCTGCTTTGTATTATCTCTGGTTTGTATCATCTCTGGTTTGTATTATCTCTGGTTTGTATCATCTCTGGTTTGTATCATCTCTGGTTTGTATTATCTCTGGTTTGTATTATCTCTGGTTTGTATCATCTCTGGTTTGTATCATCTCTGCTTTGTATTATCTCTGGTTTGTATCATCTCTGGTTTGTATCATCTCTGCTTTGTATTATCTCTGCTTTGTATTATCTCTGGTTTGTATTATCTCTGGTTTGTATTATCTCTGGTTTGTATTATCTCTGGTTTGTGTTATCTCTGGTTTGTATTATCTCTGGTTTGTATTATCTCTGTATTATCTCTGCTTTGTATTATCTCTGGTTTGTATTATCTCTGGTTTGTATTATCTCTGGTTTGTTTTATCTCTGCTTTGTATCATCTCTGGTTTGTATTATCTCTGGTTTGTATTATCTCTGCTTTGTATTATCTCTGGTTTGTATTATCTCTGGTTTGTATTATCTCTGCTTTGTATTATCTCTGCTTTGTATTATCTCTGCTTTGTATTATCTCTGCTTTGTATTATCTCTGCATGGCTTCACTTATTCGACTCCAGTGATGTTTTAAAATCCTACCGAGTCTTTAGATCCTCTTGTACCTCCACCTCTTTCTCCCCCCGATTCTCTACCTCGTCTTTCACCTCCCACTCCCCTTCCTCCCCAGTCTCTACCCCCTCCTTCACCTCCCACTCTTCCTCCTCCCCAGTCTCTACCTCCTCCTTCACCTCCCACTCCCCCTCCTCCCCAGTCTCTACCTCCTCCTTCACCTCCCACTCCCCCTCCTCCCCATTCTCTACCCCCTCCTTCACCTCCCACCCCCCCTCCTCCCCATTCTCTACCCCCTTCAGGTCTTCCTTCGTAATAATTATCATCAACTATTAACCCAACACCAACCAACCCAAGTAACCCGGCAGCAACCCGAGTGACATGAATAGGGACGGTGTTCCCCAGCAGCATTGGGGAGACCCTCATTGAGTAGACAACAAGGGGGCGTAGGAATGAAGGGAACCAGGAGAACATGATTCCTCCACCTGCGTAATGCCAGCGAGTGCGTTTGAAGTGGAAGGGTTTAAGATGAGGTCGCCTTCCGCTGCTGCCGAATAGCTCCAAGAAACCGTTAGTGCCTTTTGTCCATCAAGGAATCCTGCACGCACACACGCACAGACATGAGACCGCATCACAGATTTAACGATGGAATGCGTAGCCCGGAGGTGCAAAGCAATTTGGTAATAAACTAGAGCTTGGCTATAGCGGATAGAGAATTGTTGATTTATATACTATGAAAAAGTAAAGTAGAGCAACCATTGTCCATGGGATGAGAGAAAAATGATGCACGTACGCCATTGTGATGGGTTCCCAGGTCTGTGCTACGATGCCATCATGTACATGTATAGCCCCTTTGTCAAGCCACTGCTTCATGAGGGATGTGGCGATTATTGGACCATAGTTCTGAGGCTGGTCAGCTGGTCACCAAGGGTTAAAGGTGGGGTAATTTAGGTATCTTGGAGCATAGACGTACTGTACAGTGCTACAAAGTGCTTGCCACAAATGAACCACAATACCTCGCTGATCTCTTCCAAGGAGCAAAAACCGTCACGCGAACTCCGGCGGTCATCCTCGCAGCAGCGGCTTTTGGCTGGCCATCGAACGGAGACGGTCACTGCAAACGCGTGCTTTCGAATGCGCTTCTGCGGCCATCTGGAACGCTCTTCCTTCCGATATTAGGAAGCAACTGGAGCTATGCACTTTTAAATCCAGATTGAAAACTAATTTCTGTGCCACTGATTTTGGTGTTCAGTTTGTTGTCCGTACCCCGCACCTCCAATTCGCGCGGTCGGCTTCGTATGGTGCGAAAGAAGTCCAAGTTCAATACACACACACATGGAGCTGCACTGCCCTCTGCTGGGCAACACGTAGCCACGCAGCGATGGTGATCACCACGTGCCTGGTGGTCGCCCATCCAAGCAACTGTGCAGGCTCAAATCCCTTAATCGGCCCAGTCGGGAATGGGGGGCTTGAGGGTCTGAGCCCCCCCCCCCCCCCCAGTTAAAGGCCCTGCCCCTCTTTTAAGTCCTCATCGTCACGGCGTCGCTGCTATTCAGAGTGGTCCAGATGTCTTGTGACACTCCAATTCATTAACCCCTAAAGAAAATTTCCCTTTACATATGCATTTGTTTTAATTAAACCTTAATAAAAAAGAAATGAAAAGTTTTAGAGAATGTAATTGGGTCACAATACATCTGGACCACCCCGTGATGTACATCAGGGGTTGACGGAGTCGAGCAGAATGCATGGCAGACGAAACGAGATATTTTTGTTACTTGTCTCGATTTTAATATTTGTTCACTGTACTAACGTTGAAGTTTGTTCTTATAATGTTTGTGTCCCCCCCCCCCCCTTTCCTCTGGGATGTTTGTAGCCCCCCGTGTATTAAGCAATGCCACGAAAAACGAGGCAGTTCTCAAATCTGTAAATGACGACAAAATCTCAGCCAGTTTGCATGTTAAAGAGTAATTCCCCGGCGACACTGAAACTTGCGCTCTGCGTGACCCGTGCTGTGGAATGGGGGGTAGGGGCTCACCTGGCCTGTGCCGATCGTCTTCGGCTCCTTGCGCTGTCGGGGTTCGAGCCAAGGGACGAAGTAGATCGTTCCACGGTCACTCACGGCAGCCTCCTCCCTTCGGGGCTGTAACGATCCCTTTGAGCAGCTGGTAACAGTCGAGGTGACGCAAGATGGACAACAGCTTTGGCTTGATGTGAGCTCAACGAAACGAGGCTTGGCGATCAAAATGTAACTTGTTATAACAACACAACACGTCGAGTTACACGCAGCACCGTGGAACTTGTCATGCGTAGACGGAAATACGGCAAGCGATGCAGAGGATGCGGTCCAAAATAAAGAAGACTCCGGTCATCGTGGCAGCCACTTTTGGCGAACCATCGAACAAAGAAGTTCAACTGCATCGCGCGCTTTCAGATGCGCTTCTGCGGCCGTCTGGAACGCTCTTCCTGACGATATTCGGAAGCCACCGGAGCCTTGCACTTTTAAATCATCGAGATTGAGAACTCATTTCTTAATAACTGCTTTTTTGTGTTTAGTTGGTTGTGTTTCCCCCGCACCTCCAATCCGCGCGGTCGGCTTCGTATGGTGCGAAAGAAGTTCAACATACGTAATGCAATGCAGAACTTTGTGGTCAGTTTGTTAAAATAGGTTTTTTTTTGCATTAACGATAACCAAATGAAAAAAAAAATCAACGTTTTCAGTTTTCCGCGTGTTATGTTAATAAAACATGTTAATAAAACATAACCATGTCTATCTTTTTTTTAAATGTACGGACCGTAAAAGGGCAGTAGTAAATAAGGAACCGAAAGACTTTTGCCTCGCCGCCATTGTCATCACCACTGTCATAACTTTCACAATATTTATCAGAATAACGCTTCGGACAATGGCTCTTGATTGAGAGCAGACACCGAGGCAGGCGCGTTCGGCGAGCTCCGACTGCGCTGGGTGTGACGGCCCGAACGCGGCACTGCGTTACAGGCAGCGGTGAACCCGCGGTGAACCTCGCCCGCGGTGAATCCCACCCGCGCTGAACCTCGCCCGCGCTGAACCTCACCCCCGCTGAACCTCGCCCGCGGTGAACCTCATCCGCGGTGAACCTCGCCCGCGGTGAACCTCACCCCCGCTGAATCTCACCCGTGGTGAACCTCGCCCGCGGTGAACCTCACCCGTGGTGAACCTCATCCGTGGTGAACCTCACCCCCGCTGAATCTCACCCGCGGTGAACCTCGCCCGCGGTGAACCTCACCCGCTGTGAACCTCACCCGCGGTGAACCTCATCCGCGGTGAACCTCACCCCCGCTGAATCTCGCCCGCGGTGATTCTTACCCGCGGTGAACCTCGCCCGCGCCAGCCAGGTGACACGACCGGACAATGCGTGGACGCCTTCAATCGTTCAATGTGAACGACGTTGCCGAATTGAAAGTTAAATTGTGTGTGTTTTTTTAAGTACTAGACTATAACCTATACTGTACAGTATATATTTATATACACATACAGGCCTATATACCTCTATGTCTTGGATAAAAAATAATAATTGTGAAGAAAAAAAGTACCTAAAAAAAACCCCCCACTTAGTGACAGAACCGCAGCCTCCGTCGTCGTCTTTGTTTTACATTCGCTCAGCCAATGAGAGGCGACGTTAGACTCGGAGCCAACCAGCACCCCACCCACCGCCATTCGATTGACGATTCGTGGTCACTATTGACATTATTAATCTACCCGCTGGGCGAAAGACCCCGGGGCCGGCCCACAGGACACTCTGGCGGGACAACGTCGCTCGGCTGGCCTGGGAAATCCCCAGGGAGAGCTTGAGTTTGTGAAAAATGTGTCGGAGTGTAAAGTGTAGTGTATTGTAAAAATAAGGGTTACCGTCTGTATTATTAGCATTATTACCGATACCCCAATGATTCCCTCGTATATTGCTCAGACATAAGATATAACGCTGTCTGGAACGCATTCTCATGTACACAAAATTGGTACACAATTTTAGCATGGATTCAATCAGCGCTCACTTCTCCAGGAACGCAACTTGAGCGCTAAGCGAGGTCCACTGCGTAATATTTCCAATAGACATAGGAAATTCGTTCCTACGGAAAATAAGCTTCAACCCCTAAATATAATAAAATCACACGAATGCAGCAAACATTTTTTTAAAGCACATTTAATGTAAAATCAGTGTATCAACCACCCCAAACGTTTTTGTCGGGATGACCTGGCTTTTGGTTCGTGGTACATTGGGGAATCGGCTACCTGAGAAGTGGTAACATTGACAGTGGCAATGGCGTCTGATGTAGGGAGGGCTAGGATTGTTATAATAGATCACAGGACCTCACCCCAAGGCTTCCAGATAATAGCAAAAGGGACCTTTCTCACATTAAGTCACAGTACCAGCATTGCCTTATTTTCGGTACACATTTCACTGAAACAATTCTAAATTGAAAATTCTATGCTTCTATTGCCCAGTGACCCTACGCCAGGGAAATGCAGTGGGGGAGACAATATCTAGGAAAGAGCTTTGGAGGGCACTAATGACCAAGACAAGCGAAGTGGTGGACAGGAAGCAGAATTGCTTTCTCACTCCATGACTCAGGGTCCCTGCAGGCCATTCTCCCTCCTCTTGCTGTTGAAGTTTGCACCGCATCGGTATGACGTGGAGTCGCAATCTTCCTAAGAATTCCAACAGCGTTCTGAGAGTAACACCGTGATAAGGTGAATTTGTGCATATGTTTATTGAAGATTTAAAACAAGTGTTAAAAAACTTTGTAGCCAACACATGTCCGTGCAGTTTGTTAATTTTGTATATGGGGCCGTCCATAAATAACATCACGCGATTTTGGCCGATCTTTTACCCCCCTCCCCCCCTCATCACACGGCGTCACAAAAAGTCAGACCCCCCTAAAATCTGACGTCACAAAGCTCTGCCCCCCCCCAAACCATATTTTCATTTTGAAAATGAAACATGCTTCAAATCACTATAAACTATTGTCATTGTAGTACGTATTTAATGTGGCGCTGCACTCTGTTGTAGGAGAAAAGACGTATTAAAAAGGCGTTGGAAAGCTGAAATTAAGCATAAATTTCACTTTTAAATATTCAACGTCTAACTAAAACTGCAGATGTTCAGAATATTATATTGAAATTCTCTTATAAAATATTAAAAGTAATTATAACTATAAGAAAATACTTCAAACTTTGTAGTAGGAGACCCACCTCTCTCTGCCCCCCCCCCTCTCTATTTAGGGCCTCGACACAGAGGCATTGGGTCTCTGTGTCTATGTTGTGTCTCTCTGTGTTGTCTCTCTCCTTGTGTCTGTCTGTGTCTCCGTGTCTGTGTTTTGTCTCTCTCAAATTTAGTTATACCTGATAACGGTTGCTTGTTGCAATCGAAACGTCGTACTCTATTATTTAATTTTTCTTTCTACGTGACTTTACCGAAAGAACCAAGGAGTACTTTGTAGTAGAATGAAGCAAAATGGAGAGGCTTTTCCCACCTGGTGACGGACGCTTGTGTCGTGCCCGAAACGTCGTGATTTATTTTATTTTCTACCTACGTGACTTTACCGAAAGAACCAAAGAGGATGGATTCCTGCAGTCACGAAAGCTTCAAATTAAGATGGAGTGTACAATAATAACAATCACATATTCATTCCACAGAATGAAAAGCCCTGGTAGAATCATTAAAATCAAAATGTTTAATAACAATAATTCAAAAAAATTACAAAATGTATGCTTCTCCATTCTCCCATGGAGAAGCAAAATGCTCCTTCATGGAATAAATAAAAGGTGACCTTAGTAAATCTTAATAATCAAATAGTTAATAATGAAAATGTATCAAAATTAGTGTTATAACAATTCTATTGTTTATATTTATTTAAAGTTGCGCATTTTGATGTGACGTCACATTTCTCCCCCCCCCCCCCCTCGTCACACATCGTCACAAATGTCTGACCCCCCTCCCCCCCCCCTAGTGTGTGACGTAATTTATGGACGGCCTCTATGCGTTACAGCCTCAGGGAGGGGATAACTGTGTTTTGTTGGGCTCTTGCCAGAATTACTGGTTATTTAAAATACTGTTTGTGCAATTATATAATTGCTATGCGCAAGGCCGAGGGCATGTTTTGTGATTGTGGTAGTTCAGAGGACAAATGGCTTTATTGCTTGATAGAGCTTTGGTTAGACAAGCACGTGCTGGGTTATAACTCAGCGTTGAGGGCCTGCTACGGTGTTTTTTAGATGACATCAGCTTCATTACCACTGCTGTAAAAATGACAATGCTTATTTGGCTGTGAATGCTGAGGATAAGAACTTTGTTGTAAGAGGCTCCGACTGGTATAAAAATTAAGAACGATAGCTACGGAGTATGAGGGAGCTGGTCTACTGTTTAAGTTATCTGGTAATTTAAAGTGTAAGATATGAATATAGTTATATTAATGTGGCTGGCCACTGTCTTCGAATGAGTCGCTCATTAACAGTCAAATGTACAGTGAAGTTAATTATTGGCAACGAGGATTAAAGCAGGCTGGAGGGAAATAGAGTTCAGTGGTAATTCCCAGGATACTCGAGGTACGCATAGGAGCATTGGGGTGGAGAGTGGATGCCCTTTCGACAGACTGGAGGAGCCCCAAGGGCAATGTCCTCCCGTCCAAATCAGCTGGTCACTCGTACACCATCCTCGCGAACTAGATTATCCGAGGAAAGCTTGGGGACCAGCGAGTGTGGTACCAATACAGGTTCACAATTGTACAGTCAGTTAGGTAGTCACAATCACAGTGTGCCATGTCGGAAAAGACAAACATTGGGTTATAATCTCCAGCACCCAGTACCAGTCTGGACAGTAGCTTTGTGGTATCTACCACTAACTTCAAATAGTCTCTTCCAGGCCACCTTAAAATAAGTGGCAGCTTGTGATTTTAAGATGTTGAAAAGTGTAGATAACAGATCACTTGAATTAGTACTTTTATTTATATTCTGAAAACTTCGCAGCTTGCCCAATCTTAACTGATGTATTTGCAATAAGTAATCCAGGCTTAAGTGTACTTCATTCAAGATTTATGTTTTATACACAATTTTATTGATGCTTTTACAGTTATTGTGGAATGATTTTTTATCCATGCATGGTATACCACTGCGTGCACAGGTTTTGTGCGGTGCGTATTGTGTGGTGTGTGATGCACTGTTTGCAAGGAAGTGCAGAGGAGTGTGGCACAGCGTGTGCACTCGGCGAGGTGGTGCCTGGTGCACACTAGGTGGCCTTGTTTGCAGTTTCTTGAGGCACCTCCTGGTGGGTCTGCAGGGCGAGCTGGATCCGAGCTCCATTCTCCGCGTCCAAACGTGCGAACATCTGTGCACACGTGCCACACCACATACCAGGTCGAACTACATCAGACCATGTGCCATACCACTTTATCATACCATACCACACCACACACAACACACGTCATACCATACAAAGAGCCACAACACATATCATACCATACAAAGAGCCACATCACATACCATACCACATACCAAGTAAAATAACACCATACGATACGACACACGTCGCACAAAATACAACACGGAACCACACAACATACCAAACCAAACTGATGACACTAAACCACATGTTAAACATGTATGAATGCTCCCATCCAGCAATTCGATAAATTGTCACGATGAAAAGTTTTTATTTAATTGGATAATCAATTATTTAATTTCCCGTTTTTTCAGTTTTGCTCGTTCTATTAGCCTAAGTGAAACATTAGCATATAATCATATTATACAGCCTTTTGACAATCAACTGCTAAATATAGGCCTCCACCATGACGTTCTCGTCACAGGGTTTTGTTTGACCATACACGCTGGTCAATGCAGGTTGATGAAGTGGGGGACCAGGACTGGTTCAGATAAAATTTGCCACTCACATCCAGGGGCGGAGCCAGGATTTTGACTTTGGGGGGGCTGACTTCAATATTCTGAGATATCCAGTTCATGTTTTCCAATGGGCGCCACAAATGTATAAAACAAATTTTATTGGATTTGAACGCGGAGTTTATTAATAGGTCGGAGCCGCTGATGTGGCTAATAAGTTCGTTAGGTTCGAAAAGCTGCCGCTCAAGCAGCCTGCAGGGCAGCACAAGGTGGCAGCCTGCAGCATTTTGCAGCAGCCGGATATCCGGTTATCCCGATTACCGACTTTCCCAAAATTTCAGGGGGGGCAGAGCCCCCCCCAGCCCCCCCTGTGGCTCCGCCCCTGCTCACATTAGTTACTGATAAGAATTACAGCACAGTTCACTAAAAACTGCGCTACTATCATTATCATATAATGTGCATAAATAGTCAAGTGTATTTGAGATATATCACTCACAGCATGTATTGTGAGAGTAAGAATCCATTTTAACGGATGAACGGATGCATAATTACAAATACTGTAGCATGCCACACGCTGTACCAAGTCACAACACCCCATATGCCACACCGCATATCATACCGAGCCATAGACCACTATAGTTGGTCATTTTGATGGTGCTGAAGGTGGTGGTGGTGGTGGTGATCGTGGTGGTGATCGTGGTGATTTTGATGCTGATTTTGATGATGGTGGTGATCACGGTTCTGATGGGGATGATACCGATGTTGATGGTACACAAATGTTGCTGTTGGTGATTGTGGTGGTGCTGATGTCATGGTGGTATTGGTATTGATTGTGTCACCTGTATGAGGTCAATCCCTTCTGGGCGGCTCAGTGTTGCCTCTTTGCTAAAGGGTGACTCTGGGTGGAGGAGGTGGAATATGGAGACCAGGTCTACTGCATCCTCCAGCCTGCCATAAAATCACCACCATAAACACCGACACAATCAACATCACAAACACCGACACAACCAACATCATTACCAACATCACTCCTGATATCAACACAATCACCATCACCAAAATGCATTATCAACACAACCATTATGCATGTGAACGGTAAGTTGTAAATCAGCCTCTTCGGAATGAAGTGTAAATGCATAGGTTTGTGTTTCCATACATAGGATGGATGTATGTATGTATAAGTATGTGCATCCAAATATGTGTGTATAAACTTGTGTATGTGTCTAATCCAAGTTGGATTCCCAACTACAGCTAATATCAATGGCGAGTGATATCGGAACGAGTTCTGGTCCTCTCAAACATCAACTCAGCCTTCAATGAGTACCTGTCGGAGGTGTAAACATCATTTGGTACGCAAAGGGAGTTGGGTATTGGAGCTCGCCATTCTGCCCCCTCATGTTTGCAGGCCATCATAGGTGCTCACAAAAAGCACTTGCACCAAGAACCACCGCAGGCTATGCAGGGGACCATTGTATTTGTATGTGTGTATGCATGTATAGATTGCATGTGTATGTTGCACGCACCGGTCTCTCTGTATGAGGTCGATGAGTAGGCTGTCGATGCGCCGCGTCTTCAGTAGGAACCACACGAGACCAGGGTAGTGGCGCGTGCTGTGCAGGGTGTGCGTCGCATCGCGCTTGTACAGGTCCTCGTACACGTAGTCGTGCACCTATCACGACAGGCAGGCACCAACACAAAAACCTCCAATGTCCTGCGCACACAAGTGATGACATCATAACGGAAATGTCGGATGGATGCTTGTCTTCCTGAAATTTGCTTGGCTGGTATAGGTGGGAGCGATGATGTTTTCTCTGGCAAGAGCACACATAAGTGCAAGTTACGAACTCACTACAACATCCCTAATTGTTTTGACTTACAATCCATTCTTTCTCACATTTAGGATCGTACTTACAACAAATCGTAAAATAATATTCTGTATTCTTGTCCTCAGGACTGGATGTTTGTATCATCAATCATTATCTGTCAGCTGCTTGATGTAGGCCTCCCCACATTGTTGCCATCCATCATTATTACCCCACAATGCCACAAGTCATTGCTATTTGGTGGATTAGGTCATCTCATTGCTTCATCTCGTCGGTGTCTTTCCCCTTCGGTGTGTTCCCAACTTTGGCTGCAATTCCATCACTAGTCTCATTAACAACCATCCATCATCCTTACTGGCCATATGTCCTGGTGAAGCCCACTTATGTTCTTTAACAGTCCATATGATGTCGCTATTTTGTGTTTTCTGATCTTTGCGTTACTCTTGCTCGCAGTGATATCAAACATACCACTCTCCATGCTTCTTTGTATATATTTTGGCTGTAGCTCAATTCCCCTTGACAGTGTCAATGTTTCCAATCTGGGCTGTAGTAGTTAAAATTCACTGATGAAAAACACTAATATTTAGACATTGCCATGTTGCTTTTCATGATCAAGTTTAGTTTTCCAGAAGCACGGAATCCTGCTCTGGCTCACCAGTTTATTTAATAATTTTCTACCAATCTGCTTTCAATAATAGCTCTACGTATACATACTTTGCTGTTTTTAGATTTTAACAGCTGTCTCAACACTGAAAGAAGATATCAGAGAATGGTTTCAAGCCCAGGCATGTTTCCTCTTATTGGAGCTACAAAGGAACTGTTCAGACGTTTTAATTTGGATCCTTAGGCCAGGGTTCCACTCTCTGGGTATTCACAGCGGCATGGTCTTATGCGCGGAGCTAGAGCCTGTGAGATACTTTGTTCACGCCCTGTGGCTGGGAGCTCCTCACGCTTTCTCAGAGAGCTCAAAATGGACATGCCATAGTGACTAATCCAATACCTTGGAAAGTTCACACCTCAGGACTGGGTATCCCTCTCTCAGGGGTTTCCACTCTCAGGGGTCCCTTGCTAAGGGGGTCCTGCTCTCAGGGGGAAAATCCCCTTCTCTCAGGTGATCCCGTTCTCAGTGGTCCTTCGCTCGGGGGGTTAATTGCTCAGGGGTTCTTGTCTCAAGAGGATCATATTGGTGGCGTACCCGGATGTAGTCGTGGGAGTCAGGTTCGAATTGGAGGATGCACCAGTTGAGGATGTACTCATGTCGTTGTGCCGACAGCAAAGCCTAGGCATACACATACGTGCCCACACAAACACACATTTATCACACGTATGCATATATACCGCATAAGCAAAGAACACAACACACATGCACCCCTAACACATCCATACAGTAAGTCCGAACACTTGTTATCACGTGCTCTTTAGAGTCCAGTCCGTCACAAATGCACACTGATCACAAGTAGTAAGTTCTTTAGATTACCACTGTTTAAATATTTTGCAAAAATGGTTGTCTCAAGGATGGATCAAGAACATCACACACAAATGCGTCCCGTGGCGGCAGGGGGCGCACTACGGGCCGCAGCTATTTTATTCGCAGCTGTGTTGTGCTGTGTAAACTGCGTTTTGGGTGGGTATGGGGGAGAAGTGGGTGGCAGGTGGGGGCCTCTTGGTGGCACTGTAGCATATGGGTGGGTGGCAGAAGGGGTGGATGTGAGGAGCAGTGGCACGGCGCTACAAACCCGGTGACCCGAGTTTGAGTCCCGCTCACGGCCAACACCAGTGACGATTATCTGAACCGGTCCTGGGCCTCCCCTAGGACAACTCGGACTCAAATGAGTACCTGGTGTGGTGTGTAAACATCACCACTAGTGAGACAAAGGTGGCCAGGCGAGGTGCTGGCCAACCACCCCTTGTGTGCTGTACTGGCCTTCATAGGTGCTCGCTAACAGCACTTGGCCCAACAGTCTGTTAAGGCTATATGGGGGATCTTTGGCTTGGGAGGCAGGGGGTGTGCATGTATAGAGACGTGGAGAGAGTAAAAGAGAGTGAAAGTCCTGTGTGACTGAGTGCAGAGAGTGTGTGTGAGAGTGATGATTTCAAATATGAGGCTGTAAGGAGGTGATATCATAGGCTATACAGGGGATCTTGCACAGTGGTTATTCATGTGTGGCAAGTGCTAAATTTGATGTTTTATTACTTTATTTTAAAATGATACAGTAATTGGTATTTCCCATGTAAAAACATTTTTTAAGTTGTTGACAGAAAATTTTGGGGCAGAAGCATATCTTAGCTTTTAACATGGGAGTCAATGGGAAAACGATGATCGTTTAACAAGTGTCCACGAACAGAGCAATTTTCGCAGAACGTATATCACTCGTTCAGCGAGACACGCCTGTACACATAAAGCACATATGGACAGCACCCACACTTGTAACACAACATACGCTTCAGTAAATACGTTGGACCCTTTCATTTACATAGCAAAGTAACATCCGTTGAAACTCCACTCTGATTTTATTTGATCATTTAAATGTCACTGCTTGGGGCGATTACCATTAGGTTTTCACCATGGTGAGAGAGTTTACTGGACTGAAGGAGCTTACCGTGAGGTTTTCTCCAGAGAAGACGGCGGGCGGTATGATTCGGCGCCCAGGCCTGGGAAAATAAACCTGGAGCATGCGGTCGCGCTCCTCCCATGATGCTTTGCGAAGCGTCCCATCAGGCTCCCGCACAACAATGAACCTTTCCTGTGACATGAACGTTAACACTATTAACACAGGGGTACCATCACCACTGCAGACATCACTGTGGACATCATCACGTATATCACCACTATCACTGACATCAAAACTGCCAACATCAATAAAAACGTCTCTTACTTTCACTATGGACAGCTTCCGCAACATATGCATCATTTAATCAAGATCCAGATTTGAATCCAGGATTTTAAAATGATTGCCATAGTGAAGATGAATGATCACCAATACTGACTCCCTTTAATAAAATCACAACCAGAAGTCTATCCCACATCAACATCATCATAATTGATGATGCAGTGGTTACCAGTCCCTTATAACAGATGTGAGTGCACCATGAGGGTAGTCAACCAATTAACATCAGCCTTTCCCCAAATTATAGAGCTCACAACGCACTAGTGTTATTGTCTGGCACCCTGAGGTAGATATTGGTTTAATAAACCAAATAAACACACAATCACATTCAACAACAGCAACCGCCGTTCGCCATTAAGTAGCGGTGACGTCAACACATCGCTTATGCCATGCTAGGCGCACATACAGGTACTCAAACAGGGATGCACACACCCCATGCAGCACACACCCTGTGGGGCACGCTGTACGAGATGTCGGTAAAGACGATGGGCGTTTCCTCAAGTCCATCGAGCATGGTGTCCTGAGAGAGGACGTCATTGATCGGGGTTCTCTCAGGCAGCATGGGGGGCGGCTTCAGGGCACGTTCGGCCTCAGAGTAGGCGTTGCGCATCACCTGAATGGGAACATGGGGGCCAGGGCGAGTACACAAGGGATACAAGAACATTGAGACACATAAACTCGAGGACATGAAAACACACGAGGTAACAGGTTAGGGAGATAATGCGAACAAGGTAGGCAAAGAAGATAGGGGATATAGGAACACATGGGACATTATAAAGAACTATATAATTTGTACAGTTAGATGAACTCCACCGAAATTATGCGTAATACAAATATAGAGTACTTTGCCAATCCTTTACTGGATGAAGACCTCCTCACACCATGTCAGTTATGGAAGTTTTTGACCCTAATTCATGCTAGTGAGCAGCAGTTGGGGAAGGGGTCCCAAGCCTGGTTCAGATATCACTCACACTTCATATTAGCAGTGGCTGTGAATTTACTTGAGGTGAATGCGTTCATAGTGCAGTGCGCTACTCAACGCACAACTGCTCCCCCCACTATCAATGCCATAAACAATATATTCTTAATTTTATACATAGGTTTTCACGACTAATATTATGTTTCATGATTAGTTACTTTTGGGTTAGGTCATGTGTATATAATGCCAATTTTCAGCTATAGCCACCACCACCCAAGACAATTTATTTGGTTTTTTTGCACTTTTTATTTTATTATTATTATATGCACGAGTCGATATTGTGAATACTTAAAGTGATTTGATGAATCGATTATATGTCTATTAAAAAAACAGTATATATCCACCTCAAACACAAACAGTAAACACGCTAGGTATGCCATCACAAGTGCATTCCATCAACTGATATAATTTTCTACCATGTGAGTGGCATTGATACAGCACATGTACCAGGCGAGGTGCACTTTGAGATCACGCATGATGGTGAAGGCTGACGAGGAGACAGATCCAGGGTTGAGTGACTCCATCTCACGCATTCACAGAAAAGTGCACCTACGCAACGAGACTCTCATTTTTACGCATTCACACACCTCCTGGAGCTGTGCGTCGGTCATGAGCTTGTATTTGGGCGGCTTGAGCGCTTGCCGTCGCGGGCGGAACACCTTCTTGAGGTCGAGGCCGGTCATCCGACGCAGCAGAGACTGCACGCGCTCGTCGCCAAACTGCAAGGATGCTGCGCCTGTACACGAATGTGCACCGATGGGCACACGCAGCCACAAACAAGTACATGGGTACATCAATGCAAGCATACACGCACGCGTATAAACGCACGCAAGCGCACATATGCAACGATGCACAAAAACGTGGGTACGCGTACAACTGTCGGCAATCGCTACTTAGTGGCGGTGGTGTCAACTAGTGAGGTCAAATGAGGTGTCGCAGGCTCGCTGACAGGTCAACGAAACGAAAGCCAGAAAGCGATATTGGTTAGACTGAAATTACTGTACAGTACTTGCAGATACACCACTTGCATTCACATCAGCCTGGTGGCGCTGAACGTTATGTTCATATACACACTTAACTTGCCAATGAACCCTCCTTAAAAAAAGCGCCTCTCGCGACTCGGGCATTCCTCATCAGTCATCCCCAGAAGGCACGACTTTCAACCCACTGCGGGATGAAGGCCTCACCAAGGCTCTGCTGCATAACCAAATTCCAGCGTTCCTCTGTCGCCCCATCAAAACGAAACGGTCCCGGGCAGAGAGCGCGGCGCGCCGCCTTCAATCGCTTTCAATGTCGCGAGAACGCGAAGGCTGGAGAGCGCTACCCGCGTAAACAAACGCCGGTGGCGCCGCTGCGCCGTCACCCGTCTGGTCCCCGTGCCCCCGAAACCTCGCGTCCCCTCCACTCACCGGGGTCCCCGCTCATCCCCCGGGGTGTGGGGCCCGGGCGGCGGCGGCGCAGCTGCAGCAGCAGCGCCGGCAACGGAGCCGGGAGGCGAGACACGAGACCCAGGCTGCGCGCCGCCATTGCGGAGGTCACAGGAGACGCGACCCCGGAAACGGAAACTCAACAGGGGGGGGGGGTAGTGTGGGGGGAGGTAGTGTGGGGGGAGGGGTAATGTGGGGGGAGGGGTAATGTGTGGGGAGGGGATAGTGTGGGGGCGAGGGGGGTAGTGTGGGGGGGAGGGGGCCAGGGAGGGGGGCAGTGTGGGGGGAGGGGGGTAGTGTTGTGGGGGAGGGGGTAGTGTGGGGGGAGGGGGGTAGTGTGGGGGGAGAGGTGTAGTGTGGGGGGGAGGGGGTAGTGTGGGGGGAGGGGGGTAGTGTGGGGGTAGTGTGGGGGGAGGGGGGTAGTGTGGGGGGGGTAGTGTGGGGGGCAGGGGGGTAGTGTGGGGGGCAGGGGGGTAGTGTGGGGGGAGGGGGTAGTGTGGGGGGGTAGTGTGGGGGGGAGGGGGGTAGTGTGGGGGGCAGGGGGGTAGTGTGGGGGGAGGGGGGTAGTGTGGGGGGAAGGGGGTAGTGTGGGGGGAGGGGGTAGTGTGGGGGGGGGAGGGGGTAGTGTGGGGGGGGGTCGTGTGAGGGGCAGGGGGGTAGTGTGGGGGGAGGGGGTAGTGTGGGGGGCAGGGGGGTAGTGTGGGGGGAGGGGGTAGTGTGGGGAGGGGGAGAGTGTGGAGGGGAGGGGGTTTGGGGGGGGCAGTGTGTGGTGGTGGGGGCGAGCTCATAATTTGTTGGGATTCAGTCTTAGTTTATTTGATGGGTTTTTACGTGCCTTATACTGGTAGGAACCTCCTGGTTACACCAGCAGCCCACAGGGGATTATTGTGTCTGTCCGTCGTGCATCCAAAAATGGGAGGGGTGGGGCTGGGTGGAGAGGGTGGGGAGGGGCTAGGTGGGGAGGGTGGGAGGGGTGGGGCTGAGTGTGGAGGGGAGGGTGGGGAGGGGCTGGGTGGGGAGGGGAGGGGCTGGGTGGGGCTGGGTGGGGAGGGGCTGGTCACCCCGTGGTGCCCTTATAAAACTCAACGTTTAACCTACTCACGCCAGCTTGTGCCCGCCCTCACAGTCGGGCATATTTGCGGAATACACCACGTGGTGCCGCCGTTGACCCTGGCCATTGACCGAGCAACCCAACGTTCCTACCAGCTCCCTCCGCAGGAGAATGTGTTATGTATCGTACATGTTTTCTTATGTTATGCAATTTTGTGGGCTTCTGTCATAGTATTTTAGCGTTATTAGATTTTTATAGGGTTCTGTTTTATATATTTTTTGGCTCATGGATTGAGTTTTTGTGCTTGTTTCTCTGTATTGGTTTATCAGGGTCTCGGCTTTGTTTAATTGAGACTGTATTGGTTGCTTAAACACTGCATCTTAGATATCTGAGGGTGCCACGGTTTTCCTCCCACATCTAAACACTCATTAATTAGCCGATGACACATTAATAAACTAAACACAACTAAACTCGATCTACCGCGTCATAAGTTTAATTTATTTGGCGCACAAATCCCGTTTAGCCAGTTTCACGGCTATTTTACAAGCGAGATCCGTGGTGCGTGAGTACAGCAGTAACCAACACGTGAAGAATTGCACAACTAACGAGGTCTTTAGCGGCCGTAAAACTAACAGGTCTCTGCAGGGTGGGCTGGTAGGAACATTGGAATTTTGCGCAATTTTATGACATTGTTATACTTCCAAATGTTGGGTGCAATAAGACATATCAAGTCTCTGCGCTGTCTATTGCTGATTTTACACCGAACAGCACGAGATTTCACTTCGTTAAAGTATTGAAAGGGGACGGACGGACGGACACATTAATCTATTGCAGGCTGGTACACTCAATTTACAACTTCGTTCCTACCAGTATAATTTGTGTTTGTACACCACTGCCAAAGCAGCAGCAGCAGCGGCAACAGCAAGTCTCTCGATGGGTTAGCCCCGCAATATTTACAGGAATTGATCCATCCTTAAACTCCAATGTGGTCCCTGAGATCTTCGGATCACCCTCTTCTAAATACTCCGAGGAGTACGTCTAAGCACTACTGGGGTGATCGGGATTTGCCACTTAGCAGCTCCCAAGCTTTAGAACGCTGTGCCTTTACTAAACAGGTCCCTGCAGGGTGGGCTGGTAGGACAAGTCTCTGCGCTGTCTATTGCTGATTTTACACCTAACAGCACGAGATTTCACTTCGTTAAAGTATTGAAAGGGGACGGACGGACACATTAATCTATTGCAGGCTGGTACACTCAGTTTACAACTTCGTTCCTACCAGTAAAACATCCTCATACAAAAAATAACTGCAAATGTAAAAATACACTAGAACAAGAGGCGGCAGAGAAAGCGAGTTACAGGTGCAAGTCGGCTCTATATTTTAGCCCATTTTTGTGTCCTGACATTTTGCATTGATTTTGTATGTTTCGTTTCAGATACAATCAGTTCGCCATTACATTATATATATTAAAAAAAAATTAGTGTAATGACATCCCCCCACGGATCTGGCTGCCCTGGTCAGCCAGTCCGTCCTGTGAGGCAGCGAACGTCGTCCCCGCGTGTTTTGTAAACCGATCATCCATCATCACACAGAGTGGGGGGCCGTGTCACACACACACACACGCGCGCGTGTCACAAACTCACGCGCGTGTCACAAACGCACGCGCGTGTCACAAACGCACGCGCGTGTCACAAACGCACGCGCGTGTCACAAACACGCGCGTGTCACAAACACGCACGTGTCACAAACACCCACGCACGTGTCACACACACACACACGCACGTGTCACACACACACACGTGGACACGCGGGACAGCTGTGACTTGTTTATAGCGTGCAGGTGAGTCGACGTGCACGATTGTTTTACCTGTCTGCCCGTCTTTACGTTACACACACACACTTTCGCGCACCTATCGCAAACGCGTTGTTTTTGCGATGCTGAAAGTTGGAAAGTTGTGCAACAACAAGCACAATTAGCTCACGCACACCAACACCAACATACCTGTCAACCCATACGGTTTACCCCGTTATTCTTGTACAGGGAAATTTAGGTTTAGGGTCCAGACTGCGTGCAGCCGTTTTAATACGGACAAAAAAGTAAAAAAAATTATCTCTCTAGTTGTTTGCGTGTTCTTCCTTGTGATGGGACTTTGTAGGATGAACGTTGAGTTTTATAAGGACCGAGAAAATCTGAATTGGTCTGTAATAAGGTAGGCACTGATAAGGGGTTGACAGGTATGCACAACCCTCGTCAGTGTGTGTAACAATCGTTGAACGTTTTTTAACGCGTGGAAATTTCGCGAATAATAACCACGGTGGCCTTAAAAATGACAACCAGATATATTCGTAAAAGGCGACGTTTCTGGCAAGAGTCCTTCACAGCGCACACATTAACGTAAATCTTGTTTTGTAGGCAATGCCCTTTAGAATTGTATGCGCTGCCGTGAAGGACTGTTGCCTGAAACGTCGTCAATGACGTTCTCCTTTTTAAGGCCACGGTATTGTTGGACACGTGGGGGTTACCTGTGGGCACAGGTGAGGGGGGTTACCCTGGTGTGTGTGTATGTGCGCTCACGGACACGTGGGGGTTACCTGTGGTCACAGGTGGGGGGGGTTACCCTGGTGTATGTGTGCGCTCACGGACACGTGGGGGTTACCTGTGGGCACAGGTGGGGGGTTACCCTGGTGTATGTGTGTGCCCTCACGGACACGTGGGGGTTACCTGTGGGCACAGGTGAGGGGGGTTACCCTGGTGTGTGTGTGCGCTCACGGACACGTGGGGGTTACCTGTGGGCACAGGTGGGGGGGGGGGGGGTTACCCTGGTGTGTGTGTGTACGCTCACGGACACGTGGGGGTTACCTGTGGGCACAGGTGGGAGGGTTACCTCGGTGTGTGTGTGCGCTCACGGACACATGGGGGAGCGGTAGTGTAGCGGTCAGCGCTACGAACCTGGTGAGCCGGGTTCGAAACCCGCTCACGGCCCACCACAACACCGGTGGTGACGATTACCTGAACCGGTCCCTGAGCCTCCCCTAGGTCGACTCAGCCTCAAATGAGTACCCGGTACGAAGTGGAAACATCGCCACCGGAGGGGGGGGAGGGAGACAAAGGCGGCCGGGCGTGGTGTTGGCCACCCTCGCTAACAGCACTTGCCCCCAACAGTCTGTTCAGACTACACGGGTGGTGGGGGGGGCAGATCTTCGTCGTTGTTACCTGTGGGGCACAGGTGAGGGCGTTACCCCTGTGTGTGTGTGGGTGTGCGCTCACGTGTACGTGCAACTAGCGCCCTGTGGGCACGGACTCCTCTGCCTACGTCGTGGATAATGAACCCGCAACTGCCTCGGGGGCGTTTGTGATTCTCACGAGCAACCGGCTGTGCCGCCGCAGTTGAAAGCGCCTCGACTTGCGCGCTCCGGATTCGCATGTGGAATGCGGGCGCTAACATGTTGCGTAGCTTTAGAACGGATGGATAAATGAAGGTTGCCAACCCCCGCTTGCTTGTTGTTGTTGTCTCTACAAATTGCAATATTCGGATTGTATAACTTATCACCCGTCTCCCCCACACCCCGCTTGGGTTCGCGACCGTTGCCGATGGCCTTCGCGTAGGCTTCGGCTACGTAATCTAGGCGACTCGCGGTGGGGATTTCGTACGGTGTTGAATCTGCATCGACATTTAATCAATTGATTAAAACATTTAAAAGTACCGTTCTACTCACAAACGTCCGGTTGGGTTGTCATAATGGGTTTCCATTCTGGTTTAATAACGTTACGTTTGAAGTTCGTTGAATGTTGATAATGGTCGCGCGAAGGAGAGGCTGTACTTGCCCTATAACGGGAATGTGGAATGGTCACCTTTGGCTCAGGGCTGTACAAATGTGAGTACCCTACATTCTGTTTGGAATGGTAAAACAAATCGCATTTCAATTACTATTATGGTCTTAAGACATTGCATTGCTGTGTGTGTAATTTAAGGACGGAACAATACAAACGAGAGGGCTTTTTGGTCTATCGATCTCGTTCGATTGTTAGCAGCAGATCGATGCGTGGCTTGGCGAGTCCCTGTACATCTGCTTCCACGACACGTGTGGGCAGCCTTTTCAAGACTCCCACCGCTCTCTGCTTAAAATAATCGACATCTCGTATTTTATACTTTTTTTTACAAATCTGCTACGTGTCTCCTTTGGAAGAGCGACTTATAACTATGGAAAACTATGTTTTTGTTCGCATGATTGTGTTTTTTTACGCATTCTAGTTTATTAATAATACCTTTTAAGAAGTTTCTACAAAGTACATTTGTTTTCCTATCGTGATGCACTTACGTATTGCTATTTTCGAGGCTCGCATCGATCTACATTTGATGGTCGACTCCCACAACCTCCTACGAGGCTACAATTTGCAGGGTGATGGTGGTACAGCAAGGAAGTTTTTGACCTGCCTGTGTGAATTTGCTATGTAGTGTACGCATGGCTTTTCTTTGATATAGTATTAAAAAAATGTGTCCAAAACACTTGTTAAATATGTGGTGTCTGCATTGGTAAGCAAAATGTTGGTACCACTACTCTAAACCATATTATTTCTGAATAAGTGGTTTGCACATTTTCAAATTTCGTTTTCTGCATTGTTTTTGTTAATGCAACGGCATCAGCTGTTTTGTAGTTGTAATTGAAACCCAAATTTCCCTTTAAAAAAAATAAATTCATTTATCTCATTGGATTGTTACCTAGTGATGAAGGCAATTGTATAAAATATCTGTTTTTGGCTTGAACCCTACACTTGGTTAATGCACCGCAGAAATGATTGTGCTCAGTGGCGAGCTGACTGATGGCAGTGCTTTACCCTGGCACCTGAGCAGTAACTGGAAGTAGCTCAAGTATGTGTAAATACAGTTGTGGGCTTTTGCACATAGACAATGAAACCAAACCGTCTTATTATACACATACACTCGACAAAATTAGTGCCACACTTATTATCCATTTTAGAACATAACAACTTACATCAGTAATTCATAATAAAAGTCTTTTGGGTTAGATAACGTAAATATGAATGTGTCGTTAACCCACCATCACCCGACAGCCAATTAGTAAGGTTTATCATAAAACGTGCCAATTAGTTACGACTTTAGTGCACCGCTGTGTTGGAGAGTATACCCACGAAATGTACAATTTGAGTACAACGTTTCGCTGGTAATTACCACCAGCTTCATCAGGCGATTTGCCAGAATTTTTAATGTTAGGAAGTCTACCTTTTTCTGGCCTTGAATAAGAGGGGGTTAATGTAATCATATACATTTTAATGGGGTATGTTCATCTGCAAATATGCAGTCACTCAATACCAATCATCTACATGTGTTTGAATGTAAATATTCATTTATCACTAGAGCACACAACTTTTTTTTCTATGGACATTGACATAATTATTATAAACTTTCTCACCCCAGAACCAGACAAGGTTGCTGTTTCTCTATCTGGCAGGACACCTGTCACCCAGCACTATGGAGGTTGTATTGGTGAACCATGCCGAGATGGAAACTATTGAGAGGGTCAACAGGGATCTATTCGCTGATCGCCTTCTGCAAAGTGAGCTGCTGGTTTCTCAGCTCAGGGCTGCAGTGCAGGAGAGGGATTCTCTTCTGCAGCAGAAAGAGACACAGTTGCAGGTACGCCTGCCTCTCGATTATGGTAGACTCCCAGTGTTCACCCGTTCAACTGGGTTTTACAAACGCCAGTGCTTGTGACCCACCATGGTCCACCTTGCAAACCAATTTTCTTGACAATGCGTTTGTGAAATGCACATCCCACTTGACATCGAGATAGCTGATTCCAATTTAGATAAAGAACTTGTACGTATATGTGTATGTATGTGTCCCATGTTGTGTAGTTAAAACGAATTCAAATTAGGATCGTGAATATGAATTTGGTAGTGTCATTAGCTTGTAAAACAAGATTGGCTTGCCGGATTTATTTCAGCAAAAAGGCAGCTGAGGTACAAGTTTGCAAAAACTGGCAATTTTAGTTGGAGCGACCCAATTGGAAAATACAGAATAGTTTGTATATGTGGGACAGCTATTGAATGAAAGTGGACTGGAATCAACATGCTCACATAAAGAAGTAGACGAGAGCAGGTTTGAACGGTTTTGGAAATGTTTACTTCCTAAACAAAAAACAAGCCATTGTTTCTGAAGAAGAAACTTTTAATATGTACTTTCCGTTATGACAGTTTGATCAGAAACAAGCACGTTCACTTTACGTACACAAATAGAACTAAAAATAATAAGTGCATGAAGAAACATGCATGAAGAGATGATATCCTTGTGATTACACTGAGAGAAATGGGAACACATGGGTTAGAGAAATACTCAGGTTTAAAGACATCATGACTTGAACAAAGTGGGCTTGGGTACAGGACATGTCACTGGAAGGGGTGATGGCCAGTGGTTCAGAATTATGATGGAGTGGCGAAGGAATTGATCGCATTCTAATATGATGTCCATATAAATAATATAATCCCATGTGCAGGTTCAAGATGGATTGTACCATCACAGGACCATGATATATATGTGACCACTTGGGGAGGTTTTCAATCAGCTATGGATGGATTATGGGTTATAATAAGAATAGAAACATAATATTAAAAATACTCTGTGTGTCTTTGTCTTTTATTTACGTGTCTACCACACGGTGACTGACAAGTCTAAAATCAATTATCCATTGATCAATAATGACGTAACAACCTTAATTAACATTAAGATTGGGGATCTTAATTTGGTACATGCTGCACTTGCAGCATATGAAATATTCATAAGCTTAAGTGTTAAATTCATATGAGATATGTTTACCAATCCTGAGGCATATGCAGTATATCACGGTATAATTTTAATGTGATTAGAGAAGAGGCATAATGTGGAAAGGACCGTGTTGAATCACGAGAGCTGGAGTATGGGAAGCCTCAGGTTAAAGAAGACACTACTCTATCTGAAAACCAAGTTCCTCTTATCTTGTAGAGGTGTACCAAGGTTATGTGTCCCTAGCTGTCCAACACTGGCCTGACATCTTACTATGAAGAAAAAAATCGAGTCAAAGTACATTGCTTCTTCATTATAGCACTCTAGTGAAAAGAGCCTTGAAATGCAGTGAGGCTTTGCTGATTTAACATTCCAGTGGGAATTTAGTGACACAACTAGATTGCTCTAACAGAGTAACTATGATTCTAAAGTTTTTGTTTCTCATTAACTTAGCCTCAAACGCTTGTTGGTCTGGGACGCGCAGCCTAGGTATGTGTTTACAAGATAAGAGCTGTTTGTTTTTTGGGCTGCGTCTTTAAATTGATGTCTCCATTTCCTCATGACATGTGTTCGCTTTCCAGCAGGAGGAGGCAAAGACCCACGAGGCTAAGATGTCCAAGGTGAAGCTGCAGGCAAGAGCCAAGCTGTCTGCCCGCATGGAGAACTCGAGACGCTTGAAAAGCAGCGATTCCTCTGATGAGGTAACTGTTATTATAGGCTACTTTTTTGTTCACTTTTAACTTTTGGTGTCCGCAGATCCATCGGTTTTGTTCTCCACCAGCTACGCTGACCGGACCATTGTTTACCCTGCCCTGTTGTGTGCTATGCTGTGCCAGGCTGAGTGCCGGGCGAGCGATCGGGGGAGCGTGAAACGGGGGAAGCTGCTGCTGCTGCGACATCGTGTTGCTGAGCTCGAGGCAGCGTTGGCCAAGGAGCAACAGAAACAACAACAGCAGCAGCAGGTGCGCCCTTGCTACTATGCTTCCCCATTATATGCTTCCTTGCTTCATTGCTGCCTTATTGCTCTGCTTCCTTGCTGCCTGTTCCGTGCTGATTGTCACGCAATATATCTTGACAATGTTGTAGAAGCGCTGAGCGATGGTGGAGTGGTGTGACTTCTTGTGACGTAACGCAATAGTGTAATTAACACAAGGATAGACTGCTTTAAAGATGCAATCCAAAACTGAATAGCTTTTATTTTATAGAGATGTATCTGGGCTGTATTTCCTGAGCTATCTCGACTACAATTAGAATGCTTTGTGAGAGAGAAGAGAGACTTAAAAGTTATGGTGATATATTATAGTGACATGACTACAACGTCACTCACATATATTTTAATACATCATCAATAATGAGGATTTTTTTGGAGGCAAGGATTAATGGACCATACTAATTAGCTAACCACTCAAGCCTGCCGTTCTGAGGTGGCCAGGAGATGGTAGTACAGCAAGTGGGGTAATCAGATTCTCTGTGCCGACCATTAAGTGAAAAAAAAATCACTGCTGCTTCGTGTCCGGGTGACTGTCAGGATGAGCTGGGCAGCAAGGCGAGTGGTGCAGTGCAGGAGCTGCAGCACCAGGTGCAGGCCCTGCAGGAGGCCCTCAGTGAAAAGGATGAGCTCATCCAGAGCCGCATGTGCATCATTGAGGTGAGGGAGATGCTCACAGGACCCAGACACAAGCTCAGCAACAGAAACAAAGGCAAAGGTGGCTTTGGTGGCTTGGAGGTCAGAACCCTGAGCATTTTTTACAAACTACACCAGGTACACATTTAAGATGGAGTCAACCTAAGGGATGCCCAAGATGAGTTTACCTATTACTCACCACTGATTCTAGCTAGTTCTGGGATCAAACTCGGGTCATATGCATATACACATAAAGACAAAAATTCCTCTTCTAGCCTTCAACAGACTGTTGGAGCAAGTGCTGTTAACAAGCACCCATGTAGGCCAGCACGGCACACAAGGGAGTATGTGTTCAGCACCATGACCAGCCACCTTTGTCTCCCTAGTGGTGATATTTACACACTGCACCAGGTACTCATTTGAGGCTGAGTCGACCTTGGGGAGGCCCAGAACTGGTTCAGATAATTGTCACTGGTGTTGGCCATGAGCGGGAATAAAATGTGGGTTGTCGGGTTAGTAGAGCAGCGCGCTAACCATTGCACTACCCCATTACATACACACACAATGCACACACATACACACGTATACTCAAATGCACACACATCTACATGCATACACACTGGAGCACATGTAGACACATTCTCATCCTTTCACAACACATACACAGGCGGACACACACACTCACATTAGCTCCTGCGTGTTCAGCTCTTGCAGGATCAGCTGGGTGAGATTTCTGCTGCCGTGGGGAGCGAGGGGGACCCACTCGGCCTCCGACAGAGCAACAATCAGCTCCGGCAGAAGGTGAGGATCTCTCACGGCCCACTGAGACTGGATGGTGCTAGGTCCCACCGTGAGGGGACATTTTTCAGTTTTCGACATATGGAAGATTCGGGTTACGGATGGTTCTTGGGAACCTAACCCTTCCGTTACCCGGGGACTCTCTGTAGTTTTGTGATGTCTTCTTCTGGGGTCATGCTCTGACACAAGGTGATGCACTGCTCACTGTGAAAGTGAAGAATGGAAATGCCTTCATCTCGTGTCAGCACAGCGCTAAGCGCTCTGCTTTCTGTGCAGCAAGTGCTGTGCAATGGTCATAATTGCATCTAGGTCTCTACATCACCTTGTGCATGTGTTATTACCCTTTTGTTTGTTTCCAGCCCATATCCACTTTTCTGCCTGATGAGTTTCTTGTCATTTACACAACGTTAAAGTGCTGCCCTGTGCACGCTGTGCAGAGCGTGCTCTGCCAAGTGATGCTATTGTACCGAGCTGCCTGTCTCGGCTTCCCCTCCCACCACCACCACCACCACAATGTGGTATGTGCAGGTGCTGGCATTGGAGACTGCGCTGCAGCACCGAGAGGAGAGGCACCGGCAGGAGGTGTTCACCCTAACGGCACGGAACGACGCTGCTGAAGACTTCCAGCAGGCATGTCGCTGGACCAAGCTAATGATGTCAGCAGTGGTGGTAGTGAAGTTAATGATGTGGTGGTGTTAGTGATCATATTAATTATGGTGATGATAATTATGTTCGTGATGGTGTTGGTAATCATGGTAATGATAGTGATGATGTTGGTAAGGATGGTGGTGTTGGCAATGATTGTGTTGGTAATGATGTTAATGATGGTGGTGATTGTGTCGGGGCGCAGCTGCTGAAGTCTCTGAAGCAGAACCTGCACGAGAAGGAGGAGGTGCTGGCGGCGCGCACACACGTGGTGGAGATCTTGCAGGCCGAGTTGGATCAACGAGACGCAACCATTGTGGTTAGTGCCGCAAGTTCTGTATGTAAGCTCCCATTCCTTGCGTGAGTACCCACACTGCCATGCATGAGCTAATACTGCCACGTAATAGCACCTATAATCCTCTACATGCCTTGGTTGAGCATCCACAGTCATACTGCTGTATATTGTATTGAAAGTGTATTGCCCTTATAATTTGAAAAGCGAAAGTAGGACAAGGATGAGTGATACCAACGATTTGCAAAAGTGAATAAATCCCCATAACCAAAATGCGTGTTTATTTTATTAACCTAAAAAGTGGGCAAACACGTTTAATGGACAGAATAAACAGCTCAGTAAAAAAATGTCACTGCCATCTGCACATCACTAGTAATAGTAGGTTAACGTCAGAGGGTCCGTGATGGTGTATGTTTGAACACAGCAAACAGAGCGCAGCTTGCACGCCATTCATTCATTGTGGCATAACACATGACAACTGTGGGTATGGCTGCAACACCACGATAAAGGCACAGCCAAAGCTAGTCCTGTACATGAGTATCCACAATTTATTGCCAGAAACTGTCAGAGTGCCGCACAGTGTCACAGTGGTGGTGATGTTTGTGACTGTGTCTCTGCAGGACCTGCAGGAGAGTGGACGTCGTGCCCTTGAGCAGCAACGCCTCTCACTGTCCCACCAGAAAGCCGAGAAGCTCATGCTCACTGTCTGTCTCCAAAACTCCAATGACCAGCAAGTTCAGCCGAATGATCCTTGCGATTGCCACCCTGCATCAGGCGAAGGTGTTATAAGCACCGAGCTGCTACAGCCGTGCCCACCATCACTCGAACAAGAGGCGTTGTTGGAGAGGATTCAGGAGCTGGAAGGTAATACTTACTCAAGTGATGGTTGAATGATTAGACGATTAGATAAATGGAAGGGTAGTTGGATGGGTGAATGCTGAAAGTCTTAAAAGGCTGCGCTTATGTCTGGTTTGTGGACCGCAGATGGGCTGCGGGAACGGGAGGAGGAGGCTGCCAAGTCTGAGGCGCGGTTCCTGCAGACCAAGGCATGGTCCAAAACTCGCATTCGGCAGCTGGAGGATGAGCTACGCAGCCTCAGGGTACATATGTATTTGTGCATATTTATAATACTGTAGATTATATTTATAATACTATATATTATATTTGGAATATATGTTTATAATATATAGTATCATAACTATTTTGAATGATTTATTGTCTAGATTCCTGCCTTACTGGCACGCAAGTGCACGTGCGCGGTATTGACGTCACCACACACATCTGCCTTATGAGGTCACTTGCATTCCGCAGCGTTGATCCAGGTTCGTGCGTCGTGCTGACGTCTCGCCTCCCCTCCAATCCGGCCGTGTATCTGGCACAAATGTCATAGCGGAGAGAGATAGAGGAGGGAGGTGAGGGGGGAGATAGAGGAGGAAGAAACAGAGAGGAGAACGAGAGTGGAGAGAGTGAAAGGGCGTGAATTGGCAAGGGAGTGAGAGAGAAAAATGGAAAGAGGAGATCGAGCAAAAGCGAAGGAGTGGGAGCGAGGGTTGGGGAGCGAACTGAGAGATTGAGACAGGAAAAGGAGAGGTGAGAATAAGGAGAGGGAGGGTGATAGGTGAGAGAGAGAAATAGGGAGGAAAGGAATATATAGAGGAATATATAGGGAGGGAGAGTTGGGAGAGAGGACCGGAATAGAGAAACAGAAACATTGAGAAATCGAGATAAATTTGAATATACAATACAGAGAAGGCAAGTAACATCTGGATGGTCACATGCAAAGGATGGATCGTCACATGCAAAGAACGTGCAGGTTGCTAGTTTATTATATTATTACGCTTGTTCACCCCGGAAAAGCTCGCTGAGTCTCAATGCTCTTTTTCAGGAGGGCTTTTAAAGGTTTTTATAGTTAAGGGGATTATGATTGCTATGCAGATTTCAATTGAGAAATGTGTGGATTTGCGGCAAAACAAAGACCACTCTCAAGGAGGACGTTATGGAATGTTTAACGTCCACTGCGGAGGTTCACAGGTTCACGGACGAACTCAAATCTGGACAAACTCACATATGGACACTTGTTCATATCTAGACACTCACACCCACACTCCCATGCAGAGTGACTCGGCTGTGGAGCTGCCGTCTCTGAGGTCCCGGGTCTCCGAGCTGGAGGAGGAGCTGTCCCGCTACACCCACGTCCACGCCCACAACGGTATCCATGCACGCACGCATATGCACACACGCATAAGCACACATATGCACACGTAGCGAGACAAAAATACAGATCCCCCCTACAGCCTTAACACTGTTGTAGCAAGTGCTGTTAGAACCTATTAAAGATACATAAGACAAAGATCCCCCATATAGCCTTAGCAGACTGTTGGGGCAAGTGCTGTTGGCGATCACCTATGAAGGCTGGCACGGCACACGAGGGGGTGGGTGGCCAGCACCTTGCTCGACCGCCTTTGTCTCCCAAGTGGCGATGTTTACACACCGCACAAGGTACTCATTTGAGGCTGAGTCGACCTGAAGGTCACATACACACATGTATGTGGCCTGCATATGCACGCACCTGCCAGGGTGTTCAATTGTGGCCTGTGGGGCTCATGCATCCCTGAGAAGTTGTATGTATCTTCTGGCCTCGCAGCTGCCTCAAATGTAAGTGGAGCTCTGAGCCCACGTGGGAATTGAGTAGACATACACACAGGGGCATAAAAACTTGAATGAAGACAGACATGGAGAGAGGCATGGGGACACGGAGACACACACAGAGACACAGAGGAGACAGAGACACGAAGACACTGCAAGAGACAGAGACGGCCCAGGGAGAGGGGGGGTTGGTAAGTGTAGCCCCAGGGCCACACGCAGTATATAATTAGTGAGAGACAGTGATGGAGAGGTATATAGAAATAGAAGAGACCTGCTCTCCCTTTCCTTCACCCTCCCCTATAGAGGAATAGACTCAGAGACATAAACAGATACAACGACAAAAGACGCAAAGAAACAGACACAAAAAGGGACCACAAAGAGCATGTGTGTTTATTTAATACAGAGACAAATACACAGTGACCCAAACACAGAGATATGGAGAGAGGCAAGGACACAGAGACGGGGAGAATGACAGAGTAAGACACAAAAAAAGGCACACACAGACATGGAGAGAGAAGATATGTACTTTCCCATTATTCCACCCCACCCCAGAACACAGATTATAATACTCTTTGGTTCTTTCGGTAAAGTCACGTAGGTGGAAATGATTGATTTTATTTCTACCTACGTGACTTGACCGAAAGAACCAAAGAGCATGGATTCGTGTAGTCACGAAAGCTTCAAATCAAGATTACATATAAGTACAACATGGGTAAGCATCATTGCACCGCAATAGATTCAGCAGAAATACACCAGAGCAGCACTGCTGAACCACCCAGCCGAACTGCAGCTAATATCTGTGCTGTTCAGCACAGCAGTAGAATACAGCCAGGCAACTGTCAGCCACTTGGGCAGGCCTGTAAACCTTGACTTGCTTGTAACCTTTTGATTTAAAGCTTTCGTGACTGCAGTAATTCATATTCTTAGCTCTTTCGGTAAAGTCACGTTGAAGGGAAACAATAAAATAACAAAATATATATATAAAACAGTAAAAATTATCACGACGTTTCGACCATAACGTAAACTGTTATCGTCGAAACGTCGTGATAATTTTTATTGTTTTATATTTATTTTGTTATTTTATTGTTTCCCTTCAACTTGACGACGTTTCGACCATAACGCAAACGGTTATGGTCGAAACGTCGTGAGAATTTGTATTTTTTATATATATTTTGTTATTTTATTGTTTCCCTTCAACTTGACTTTACCGAAAGAGCTAAGAATATTGCTTGTAACCGTTGTGCTGTTTAGCACAATCTGACAGCGATGTGCTTTTTCCACAGAGGAGCTTGCATCACGGCTGCACGTGTTTGAGCAGCTGGAGCGCGTGATGCAGTTGGACCTGGAGCAAGCGGTGCTGCACAACTCAGCGAAGGTGCGACCTTCTATCCAAGGTCAATTGGTCATCACGGCCATTGCCTTAATGACCTTTTTTAACGATTTAGCCTCCAATCCTGATTCAGAGTCGTGACTTGATCCAAGATTCAATAATGTCGTTTCTTGGATCTCAGTTTTAGGGTATTGTTTATTTTTTCCCGTCTCATTTGTACTGTGATTTTTTGCATCAATGTCATGATCCTTATGAGCTAACCATGTATTGTCATGGTCAAAAAATATCATTCTTAAAGCAAATAACATGCCGAAATCAGCGTAAAAGAAGAAATGTATTATTTTCTCAAAAAATATTATTTTCAAAAAAATATCATGGCAGGTTATTTCACTCCTTTAATCAAAGAACCACCCCAAAGCAGCTTTAAAATATACTTGTTATACATCATCTCACCGCATTCGACAATCCTGCAGTATCCAACCACTAACCACACTTTACCCATTACCCATGCTTATCTTAAAACGTCTACGAAAGAACCATATTTTAAAACAATGTTTAAATTTTACTATTTTATCTACCAGGTAAAGCTCACTGAGCTATTAGCTCTTTTTCAGAAGCGACTTGACCACAAATGTTAGCTCAACAAAGTGGCTTATCATGTGAACATTTATCGCAGCCAAATAATCAAAACGCACGTTTCTAAATTTGGAGGGAAAAGCCAGAGGACCCAGAGAAGGAGAAGAAGAATATACAAAGTCCAAATATACAGGCAGTGAGGGCGTGATCGAACCCATGACCCTGCGCATACCAGGCGAGGGAGATGAGATCTCGCCAGCGTGGCACGAATTTTAATGTCAGACATAACACGAGACAAAGAACAGCATGACCGAAGTTCTAATGAAAGATGGTCCTGTAATCTAATTTGACAATAGTTCTATCCCTAGTGCCAACCAGACGGGTTGGCCGGACAACCATGAGATGGTAATCCGTTAATTGTAATACCCAAGATGGGTTGTACGGGGTAATGAGTGGCATATCACGACCAGGATGAGCCCATCGAATCACTACACTGAAGAGTCTGGTTTAATTATAGGTGGCTGAAACCGGAATTTGAATCCAGTATATCATTAGTACCAGCTCAGTGTCTTTGACATGTTATTATCTCCCTGAGCCAGCCTACTAATTTAATCATTTTTGTTTCCTGTGGTGGCACCAGGATGGCGAGAAGGATGTCCATCGTGTCATCTCGCAGGACTCGGTGGTCAGTGGAACCATGGAAGAGAGAGAGGGTACGCTTCCATCTGTCTGTGAGGCTGGCTATCTCAATGGTGTCTCTTGGCCAAGGTCAAGAGTAGTCATGTGATGGTTTGATTTCCTTACATCAGCCTTATTACACAACTTTTCAAAGCTGGACTACCACAATTCATGATTTGTTGGTCTTCCAAACAGGTATGGCACCTTCAACTTGCGTAAAATGCGGCTCTAGATACATTTTTAAGTGTTTTTAATCGAATTGGCATAACATTAGTCTTGTGTGGTGGCAACATTAGTTTGTTGTTCATTATCTCGACGTTCAAAGAAACAATTACTTGTCATCACGGCCATTTTGTCACGTATTTTTTTAAAAGGTGACCTCTGGGATTCATTGCAAAAAACTGTGGGTGGTGGAATTAATTCTATATGCAATTATATAAATAATATTTTGTGATTTTAAGTGCATAAAATTTACTTTGTGAGTACCATCTATTTATAATTAATGCAAATCACATGCAAATATTACCAAAACAAACCCTTCAAGCCATTTAGAATCAGCGTAGATGTGTTAGGTTTAACGATCAGCCTTCTTGTGGGTCGTGGTGGATTATGATCGTAAGTGATTGGTTAGTCTGTACAGTCCACATCGTGATTTTGTAAGTGTAATTGAAGAGTAAATATATTAAGTTTTCTGTGATTATTAATCATATGTTAATTAAATATGTTAGGTGTTGATTACATATTAATATCATTTATGGTTAATAATTGTGTTATATATATTTTTTGGTGTAGGCCAGATATTTTTCTGCAAAGCTCTCCCTCCAGTTAATTTGGATTTGAGGGGTTTTACTTTAATTGATTCTTACGCAAGTGATGCAACACGTTTATTGTGAGATTAAGTATGAATGGTTGTGTGTCTCGTTGAAGGGCATGGCACCCTACAAGCAGATGAATGGAGTCTGTGATTGAGGGGCAACCTGGCTCCCCCCCCCCCACACTTCCTCTTGCACTTCCTTTTGGCGGTTCACATTTGACAACAGTTGGGGCCATTTAATGTTGATGATGAGCTTCGGTATTCACCCGCCACACAGGACTGATTGAAGATGACTGGCTGTTTCCGGGGTACTCTGAGCATCCATCCTTTGTTGGGGGAGCATCTGGGACGGGCAAAGGACAAGCCCCTCGCAGCCTCCTTAGAGCAGAAGATGAGCCTAGAGGGCAGCTGGCCAATGATGGCAGACTTGTGAGTGACACCTATGATAAGGTTGGGTTCTTATTATCGTCACGGTTTTCGTCATTCTCATCAGCAGCATCATTTGCAGCAACAAGAGCTGTGTCAACATTGCCAATATCTTCCACTCCATCATCACAATCACTGTTATAAAGCATCACCGATCCTGTCATCATATTCATAAGTATATCAGTATTATCTGCCATGATCACTATCAGCATCATTGTCTAGATTAACAGTAGCTGCAGCAGAAACAGCATTCATATCACTATCTGAACAAGAATCAGCGTAGCCACCATAATAAGCTTTATCATTTTTGTTATCACCGTCATGATCAGCAGCATCAATACCAGCAGTCGCCATTGTCATCACCATAATCATATTCCTCAACATAATTTACCACAATCAGCATGAGCATTGTCAGTTTCATCATCATTAAATTAATACCATTGGTTTAATATTTTGTTGTCCTTGCCACCCTGCACCTATAATTAGCACAGTTGGCTACGTACGGTGCGAAAGACGTTCAACATACATATTTTTAGAATTTCCGTTTTCGAACGCTTCCCACATTTCTCAATTTCCATAATTCCACTGCTGTAATTCCAGGCTGCAACACGTGAAGCAAGAAGTTTACAGTCCAAGAGAGTGTCTCCTCTGGGAGAGGGCGAGAGTTTGGCTGACCTGTGGGATGATTACAGTGTGGATCATGCAGGTAACATCTGTTTGGGACGGTGCTTCCTTCACATTAAACTTGTGATGCCTTTGAATTTTAATAGGATGTGTAAAGCCACCATCACACCATTGTACAAAATGTATACCAAACTGACTTTGACCAAATCACATTGAATGTACCCAGTCTTGTAAAATCTCTGAAGCTCACCACGGTTAAACCTGGATATTTCTTGGATAGATGACACTTATGCCAAAATAAGTTATCATAGCTGCAGGGAATCTGGTTGGCAGCAGAGGGCAGGGCAGTAAAATCCATTGTATTGCGATGCTACCATGTCTTTGCTAACCCACACTGACGAATGTCGTAAAGCATAGTCAAATTGCCCCCATTACCTGCACTGTGTGGAGGAGGTCCTCATGCAGGAGTGGATTGAGAAAAGGTCCATACGTGTGTAAAGTAACCAGTGGAATAGTGTACAAAATGTGTACTGTTCGGCGCTGAGCAGGCTCCACAGTGTTGTCGAGGGCTTTTTCCGTTAACACCAGGAAACCCATTCGTTAATGGGCCACACTCGGTAGAAGTCAACAACAGTGCAAGATATCCTGCTTAAACAAATGTTCCTGGAACAACATTGTTCCAGGATTTCCATAGAATGCTGCACTATATTTTACTAAATGTTTCCACGGTTAAACAGGTGTCTTAATTACTCACCTTCACACACAAATGCACACTCGCATGTGCACATGCAAACACAAATGCGCATTCACATGTACACACGTGCCTCTTATTTGGACTTGCATGGCATTGTAAGCTTTTCCCATTATACCATGCTGACTGAATGGAATACAACTGTATTAGCATGGGGATTCCAATACTTCAGTCATTGCACCTCATCATGGCTCTACCCTATGTTTTGCCCATCTATTATATTCACATGCATTTGTATCGAAGGAGGATGCATTGTAGATGCATTGTAGATGCATCCTATGCCATATTTCCTAGGCTGTCTGATATTTGAGTTTGCAGTGATAATCGTCTGATTTTTGTCAGCTTTAGCTTTCACACTCATCACTTAAATAAAAAAAAAAGTCTTTAAAAGTCTGCTTTTACGTTTCGATTCAGCATCCTGGGAAAGATGCAGATACAATCTTTGATAAGCTTTGGTTCAATTACCCCGATTTTAAAATACATTTTTGGGGAGATTCTGCATTCATACCAAGTTAGCAGCTTTTTAGCTCCTCTAGAAAATTATTAGTATTTCTGTTGCTCGGTCACGGCTGTGTATGTGGCCAAGCATAGACGATAGCTACAACCATGCTCATTGTATCACCTCCTGCCTACCCTGCATTGTCCAACTTTGCCTTGCCCTGTCCCAGCCTTGCCCTGCTTTGCTCTTCCTGTGCCTTGTGTCTTGTCTTGCCTGTGCCTTGCCCTCATGTTGAAGTTTGTTTTGCATACATTTCCAGTGTCCATTCCCTCCCAGGGGCATGTGCCCAGTCCTGAATACCCCTTGCTGTGTGACACCTCTGCTGTTCGAGGTATGTGTGACTTCATTTACTTGTGATATTTTAGAAGTGCTTTCATTTATATCCCATCAGTTGGTTTTATTATTACATACATTTGCCATTGTGGTGTCAGATCATTGGTTGAAACCTGAAAAAAAATCTGAATCAAAACCAACATCTGCACCGTCCACGGGAAAAAAGAAAATACATAATATTTTGCAAGGCCAAAACATACCACATATCAGTGGACACAGTGAGTGGACAGTTGACCAATGTGTTGTCCTTGCAAGGTATGGATTGTCCATTAAAGACAAAAACAGGTTTAGGCCACACAGCATTGTGTGTATTATCCCATGATGCTGTGTGGCTTAATGTCTTTGACAAGTAGTATATTTTATTGTTGGGTGAAATCACCAGATTATCAGTTTCAAGAAATGTTTGCTATTGAGATTAAAGTCTTTGGCCTTTGCTGATCTTGTGTATATAGCATTTGATGCCTCATATCTATTAGTCACTTTCTATAGGCCAAGATCTTTTCACAAGACTGACATATAATCCCGATATTCTTAAAAACCAAAAATAACGTTCAGGAAGGTAGTTACTGAACAGATTTCGTTGAGTGAAAAAAAAGATCGAGCTCATCAAACTTCACATTGATGGAATAAGACACAATTTGAAAATTCATAGTGATGCAAGACAAAAAACACAAGTTGACAGAAATCTGATTGACTTGGAATTGTGTGGTTCTCTTTAAAATGCCTTTATGCCGATTTAAACAAATCAGTGATTAATGCTTGTGCTTGCTGCCTCCCCTGTCTTGGCTTAAAAAAAATGCCCGGTATGGCCTGCTTAATAAGCCACCAGAACAGGCAATCATGCATACTTCACACTGGATGTAATTGGTGCTGGCTCATAGCATGTTGCAACATTAATGCTGAGTGGCACCACTCCCCAGGTCTTCGCTCTGTGGTGGGAGACCTTGAGCTGGAGAGGAACCAACTACAGCAGCAGATCCAGGAGCTGGAGGAGCAGCTCGAGGAGATGGACACACGGCAAAGCCTACAAGTCCGTACCAACGGACTGCAGGTGCTCCCCACCCCCTCCGCCTCCGCACCTTCATTCGACCACACGCCCTGTTCATCCACCAGTGTCTGCCCAAAGAACAGCCATCAGTAAACATGCAACCATCAGCTAACATCACACAGCCACCAGCAGACATCACAGTGTGGACCAGCAGACAACAAAAAAAATCAAACAGCCATCAACAAATATCACAGCCATCAGCTGACATCACAAAGTCATCAACAAACAACACCAAGCCCATCGGTGGCTAAGTGCATGATCGATCAGTTCCTTATTGCGGTCATGTCTGTGTCCGACTTTGTCTTGATGTGCTGTGCCGTGACACGACGGTTTTTCGGCCCAGGCGGAGGTTGAGCGTTTGAAGAGCCAGCTGAGCCAGCTGCGGAATGAGAAGAGCCAAGACGAAGAGAGCCACCACTCCACAATGAGCAACCTGTGCGACCGCATCTCAGTGTACGCACACATGCTCCCCCGCACGTGATCCTTTTCTGTGTGCGCAGCCAGTGTGGTCACGGTCTGCCTTAATAGGTACTCATTAACTGCATAACTGCATTCGCTTTGTCTGTGTGTGTGTGTGTGTATGTGTACACGAGTGCTTGCGACTCAGTGTGAGTGCGTGTTTGTGCGTGTGCTCGGGGAAGTTTCTGCGTCGTGAATAGCACACTGCATCACATTTGGAGCTGGTCTCACCATCCCCTTTTGGGCTGTACCGGCCTTAATAGGTGCTCTATAACAGTACTTGCCCCAATACTGTTAAAGGTTATGCATGTGTGTGTGTGCTGGAAAGATGTATTTCTCTCTGCATTGCTTGCTGTCTGCTCTGTTTGACACCTACCATCATATTTGGCTGATTCCTCCTATCCTGCCTTTGTTCGATCCTGCTTTCTGCTCGTCGATTCCTCTACATTTGTTCCACTTTCATACCCCGCTTCTGTTTTGCTTATTCACCTCTTATACCTGTTACTGTTCCTCCCTGCCTTCGAGTCTCTTGTCTGTGATCCTTCGTTCATTTTGTCTGCCGTCGCTCACTTGCCCATTCCTCGCTGGCATTTTGCACACCCCAGCCTGGTGGAGGAGAACGCTCGCCTTGAGGGGGCCCTGCAGGAGAAGGAACGTGCCCTGAACTCTGAGTCTGCCCATGCGGCTCGGTTTCAGGCCACGGAGGCTTCGCTCGCAGAGGCAGTCGCCGCCCTCTCCACACTCTCCGCCAAGTTGAGTACAGCCGAGACGCAGGTAATAGTGAGTTCAGCGGTATCAATAATGACATCATCCCTATCCTCATCATCATTGGCCGTCACCGTCTAACCATTTCGCAATGCAACAAACATCTCACGACTGCACGTGAGCTGCATTCATTACCCCTGCATAACTTTGCTTCGTGACACTTTAGAATCGCGCAGGCTGGCTCCTTATTTTTTGCTGGTTTTAGTTTGAAAGTTGTTTTGTGATTGAGTTTGTGTGCTTCCCTGTGTGAAGGATGAGATGCTTGTTTTTATGCACAATTATGATGTCGGCATCACCTCACGGGATGAATAAATATCCATTTGGAACTCGGAGCGAGTGATGGTCCTGCTGTTGATTGTTACACTGGCGTTCATGGTTTTGGTGATGTTGCTACTAGTGATGTTGCTGCCAGTGATGTTTGTGGCATTGATATGGTTGATGCTGCTGATGGTACTGCGGCTGCTTATATTGCTGCTGGTGAAGCTGTAGCTGGTGGTGCTGATGATGCGATAAATGTTGTCGCTGCCACCGTGTGCAGCTGCAGGAAGCGGCGGTGAAGAGGCGCGCCAGTGAGGCAGAGTGTTCCGAGCTGCGGGTGGCCGTGGACGACCGCAACAAGCAGCTGGCATTGAAAACAACCAAGGTGCCCGATAGAGCCTGATGGTGGAAGTGGCGCTGCCAGTGCAGCTCTGTGGCCTAGCCATCAAGCGTGCAGGCAGTGTAACTGCACCAAGGCCCTACGGGCTGGAGGTGCCTCGGCACTGGGCTACCAAGAGAGGGGAATCTCGACAGGTGGTACAATTTATTTTCTTGCACCAGGGCCTATGCCAACCACGATGCACCATTGGTACTGCTGGTCATCACAGTGGTGGCAGTGATACTGCATGTGATGGTGGAGGACATTATACATATATAATGATGAAGATGACTGTGGTTGGTGCTGGCAGTGATCCTACTAATGATTGATGCCAGTGCTGATGCTCCTGTTGCTACGAGTCATCATGGTCATGATAATAGCGCTGAACATGATGAATGTAATAATAATGATGGTGATGAATGGATGCAGTGCGAGTGTCAATGCTTGTATTAATGCTGAGGCTGATGAAGATGATAATGAGAATGATGATGTTTCAGCTAATGCTGGTGCTGTTGTTACTACCACTGATGGTGGTGGTATTGTTGCTGCTGAGGATGATAGCAACGTTGATGATAATGTTTGTACTCCAGCTTCAGCTGCTCGAGGAGCAGGAGAACAGTGCGCGTGCAGAATCAGAGCATCTGGCTGAGGAACTGGAGCGACTCAACCTCTCGTTCATGGAGGAGCGAGCCCATCTCATTGCAACGCTACAGGCACATGCATCACCCTGCATCACCCTGCATCACCTTGCACCATCATGAACCATGCTGAACCATGATTAACCAGACCACACCATCATGAACCAGACGACACCACCTTTTAGCAATCATTAGCCACACTACACCATCATGAACGACGCTGCACCACACTACACCACACTACACCGTCATGCTGCAGATGTTGCTGCTTTTGTTGCTGTAATTGTAGTTTCTTTCGCGGTGGTGGTTGCTGTTGTTGCTGCTGACATCATTTCCACTCCACTGCATAGGAGCGTGAGCGTGAGGCCGATCGCCTGCAAGAGGCCGAGGCAGAGGCGTCCACTTGCCAGGGCGATGTGACGGAGCCATCGGAGCGAATCGCTCGATTCCCCGAATCCCGCCCACTCGCCCACACCCGCCACTCCCAGGCCAAGCGGCTCCTCTGGGATGAGATGAGCGCTGGCCTTGAGCGCCAACTGGGAGAAGCCAGGGAGATGCTGGCAGCAGCCGTGGAGGAGGCAAGCAAGGGCAAGGCAGAGGGCATACGTCTAGAGGGAAAGGTGAGCGACATGACAAATGATAGGGTCTACAAATCCATTCATGGTCTTGGCCCACTGTATCTTGCCACTCTTGTATCTTTTTACTTGCCTTCTCACCCTCTACGTTCTCAATCTTTGCCGTTTGTGTGTTCCTCCTTGTGCTCAATCACACTTTCGCTCTTTTTCTTTTCTTGCCCCCCTTCACTGGAACAAACTTCCGCTCCACATTAAACAGTCACCTTTGCTCACTAGTTTCCACTCCCACTCATAACCACCTCCGTTACTGTTCCTTCTTAATATTCTCATTATACGACTATTATTCATTCCCCGTTCGTTTAATCCATGCATCATCATCTACTGTCATCAATTTCACTTTTGCATAATTCACGTATCACAGGTTTCCCCATTACTTTCTCTCATCTATTTCAATCACCTCATCTCCACAATTACATTCATATGTGTACCGTTAATTCTTTGTAAAGCGCCTTGGTTCAGACACCATGTAAGTTCCGTTAAGATAAGATAAAGTTCATATCAAACGCTCACCATAGCCAGTGTTGTCCAAGCAGCTGCACTTTTTGCATAACTTTGCACGTCCGATTATCACGGTTGGCTATGTACAGCGTCAAAGAAGTTCAACATATGTCCCTCTGAGAGATGATGTCGTTGTTGCAGTGTTGAAGCCTGACCTCTAAGTTCTGCTCTTATAAGTACAAGCTCACTGAATTTTGGGGGTAATGGTAGGGATAAGGCTACAGTGATAAGTGTTAGGAGTAAGTTTAGGGGTGGAGATATTGTAAGACGTAGGACTAGGTTCAGAATTATGGGAAATCTTATGGTAGCAGCAAGGGTAGGAGGTAGGTTATAGGGTTATGGGTATTGTTAGGGACAGCAGTAGGGTAAGGGGTATAGTTAAGGTTAAAGACACATTCAGGAGTGATGATTGATTCATGGGTGGAGTTTGGACCATAGTTAGGGCTATGGGTAAAATGAGCAATCAGTATCATCCGTGATATGTGGGTGCATGACCTTGCACCCCCTCTTCATCTCCCCAAACCCCTTTCTCTGTCATCCACGACCAAAGATAATTGAGTTTTAAACATGGTTAAATGTGTGCTTAGGTTAGCATACACCGTCTCAAGTAATAAGCTACCAGAATTGATGCTGACCTACGTCACTGATATGTGGGTCCCTTTCCTGTTTAGCCTGGGATATGATCGTTTCAGACAGTGTCCCGGCTAAGATTGGGTAGCCCCGTTGGAAAAGCGAGCTCCACACCCCAGACAAAGTTGGCTCTACACTTTGCTTGGCTGGGTCAGGCTGCGGGAATCTGGGCAGAGCCTACATGCCCAGTTAGTGAACTAGGCCAGCCCAGATTTAATTGTTCATTGGAACACAACAATTGGGTAGGGATTTGGTAAGAGGTAGAGTTAGGTCTAGGAGGAGAATTAAAGGTGGTGTTATCGGTAAGATAGAAGTTGGATTATGCATTGGTGATAGGAGTAGATGGTAAGCACTTAGTTAATCGTACAATTGTAATGTACAGTATGTCATGAAATCTAATACAAACTGAACAAAAGCTCTGAATGATGACAACACAACACTTTCAGGTGGCGGTGGAGGTGGAAAGGGGCAGAAAGACCTACGAACAACTGCAAAAGGCATTGGCCACTCTCCAGGAAAAGGAACGGGAGATCGTGACGATGCAAACAGAATACCTGGGAAAAGAGCGAGAGATTTCGATGTTAAAAACGGAGTGTGCATTCAAGGAGCAAGATATCGGGATACTCAAAGCCAAGCACCAGGACAAAGAGGAAGAGATTGTGATGATGCACATGAAGCACCAGGACATGGAGCAAGAGATCATGATGTTAAGATTGAAATGGGAGGAAAACGAGGGAATGATTGCATCGCGAGATGTAGAGCACCTAGATATGGAGCGAGAAATCGTGAAGCTAAAAACGGAACACAAGACCAAGGAGCAAGAACTCGCGATGCTAAAAGCAGAACGTGAAGACAAAGAGCGTGAGATTGTGGCAATGCACACAAAACACAGAGACAGTGAGCGGGTAATTGCCATGATAAATGCGGAAGGCCAGAATATGGAACTAAAGATTGCGGTACTAAAAGCAAAAGGTGAGGACCAGAAACGAGAGATTACAACACTAAATGTGCAACTTCAGGACATGGAACGAGAGATGATATCGCTGAAGCAAGAGATGGTGACATTAAGCACTCGGTACCAGGACAAGGAGCGAGAAATCGCGACACTGAATACGCAGTGCCAAGGCAAGGAGCAAGACATTGCGAAGTTACATTTGGAATGGAGGAACAAAGAACAAGAAATCAAGATGCTGAATGTGAAATGTCAAGACAGGGATCGAGAGATAGCGACCCTGCATGCACTGCATCAAGAGAAGGACCGCAAAATGTCTACACTTCTGCTGAATGCTGAGAACAGTGCAGCAGCCCTTGCGCAGAAAGACACCGAGCTGAGGGAGCTTACCGACACCGCGTCATTGCAGCGCAAAGCGGCACTTGCAAGAGCATCCCAGCTCCAGTCTCGCTTGGCAGCCAAGGAGAGCATGATCAGAGATCAAGAGGCACAGGTGTCGAGTTCGCCGACGACCGCTGAGAGACACAGGGAGGAGGTGGAGAGGGCCGAGTTGCGTGCGGCGCTGGCGCGGCAGGCGGAGGATGGCGATCGAGAACGTGCGGCACTGGGGGCTCAGGTGCAAGGTCTGCAACGCAACCTGCAGGAGGCACAAGGCCGTTACGAGCAGCTGAGAGTGCACTCGCTGGCCCTGCAGCAGCAGCTTGCGCTGCTTGCCAATCGGCCATGCTCCCAGGTTTGCATGTCTGTACAAATGTCTGTTTCAGTGTACATATTTTTGTCCGTGTTCGGGATGTACTCTCGTTTTTGGGATGAATCTTGAGACGTAAAAAATCAGGCCTAGATATGAAATTTTGGACGATCCAAAAAAAAATGTATTCCGGTTTATTCTGGAAAAAGAAGTGACATCATGAACATGTCTTCACGAGTGCCATTTTGCAGCCAAAACAATGTCAAATGGTGTCAAAGGATGTCACTGTCTTCAGCTCAAACACACACAAATAAATAACAATGTAAATCCCAAAAAGATGCAAACATTTTCTGTCAATATTCGAAGATCTATATATTTTATCCATGATGCGTATGTATGCATGTGAACAAAAATGTCCTTTTGTGTTTATTTGTGTACATGATTCAAACTGTATGTGTGGGAAAGTATGCTTGACAAATGTATGTGCGTACCTGGTTATGTCTATTCATTCTAAAATATGTTTGTGTTTGGTTTGAGCGGTTGTGCAGTGGTTTGTGCACTGCACTATCAACCTGATGATCTAATTTGATTCCTCACTACAGCTAACATTAGTGGGGAGTGATATCTGAAGCAATCCTGGGCCCGTCTTCACCAACCCACACTGACCAGCATGGTGAAGTATAATCAAAACAACTCCTGTGACCCACAGGCATAGTGAGGCCCTCAATCTGCAGTGGATTGGCAAAGGGCTGCGTATATTTGTGTGTTTATGTATGTAGCTGGTTATAGCTGGATGTGTGAATATTTGTTTTTATTATATATGTGTACATTTTTATAACTTTCTTTATATGTGTGCGATTTGTTGATATCTGCATCATTTGGCAATGCTTGATATTGTCTGATAAAATTATGTGTGCGTCGGTATGTGTGTTGGCCATTAAATCTGGTGACTTTGGTTCTATTCCTAGTTGTGGCCAGCTTAAGTGGTAAGTTGGTGTTTGAACCTAATCTGATCTCCTCTGAGTCGACTCAGCCTTAATTTAGTATGTGATGCAGTATGTGAAAATCAACGCTGGGGAGACAAGGGTGTGGTGCTGCCTAAACCTTCCAAGGTTGTGCAGTCATAGCCTTAATAGGTGCTCACTAACAGCACTTGCCCCTTTAGTCTGTCCAACTTAATGCAGCATTTTTTCTCGTGCCTTCGTGTCAGGGGGAAGGTCAGTATGAAGATGTGGGCCCTCCTGGAGCTCCTCGCCACAAGCCTTCTCTGCCATCCAAGCCTTCGCCTGGCCTCCATCACCTAGGAGAAGCCAGGTAAGTTTATTTACACGTATACACCTTTGTAAAGCACAGGTGGTATCAATAAGAATAGACCGTAAGCAGCTCAACATTGTTATCATCTTCATGGTTATAACTAGGGGATTAAATTATTAATTGCTAAGTATTAACTGGAGTGATGGTGACTTTTGTATCGCAGTTGCTGGGCATAAGCCCAAAGGCCTAAAATGCAACGCAGTTATCAACGGAGAGTAGACAAAGATTAAAGTATTTCTTGAATCGAGGTAAATTATGGAAACATTGGAAAAGGTACAGTGTAAGGGAGTCCAAAGAATGCCTGCTGCCCTGTTGGGCCATCTGCCCTTGAAGGGCAAAGCTGAATTAAAATAAAGGAGCTGAAAAGCAGATGTAACACCAGCCTCTGTATGGCCAGTGCAGGGAAAAAAAGCAAAGAATGTGTAGTGGCCCAGTTACATGATTAAAGCATTCATTGAAGAGGTTTTTTTTTTTTCCCCGAGTAAAAAACGACAGATGTTTCTGTTGGCCTAAAAAAATTGCGTTCAAGTGAGGAATGATTGAGAGTGATGTTTTGGTCGTGTTGGAAAGCAAAGTGTCTTAGAAAGTATACGATTAAATTAGTATGTTCAGTAAAGTGTGCTGTCATGGCATTGTGAGAGGAAGTTAACAATTCAGCAACTTGGTTGATAGATCATGTAGACTGGTGAAGTTTCCAATCCAGCTGGGCTGCGAGGTGACCAAGAGATGGCATGCTAGCACGTAGGTTTGTAATCCCGTGTGACGTCCTTAAACGCATAGGTTTTCTGGTTTCCTTAGTGCAAAACAAACCTTAAAAATGCATTAGCTAAGCATCCACCAGGCGGTGGTGGTGTACACCTGCAATTCAGCACTGGAGGCTTGGTGGATCGTTCAAATGTTGCGAATATCCTTTCCCATGGTTGTCGAGGTGCCAATCCTTGGCTCGCCAGGAAAAGGTGGTACAACAAATGTGGACTCCATTTGTTCCTTCTGTATGGCATTTTGAGTGTTACCTACCCTCCTCACACATGTGGGTTTGCTCAAGGTGTTTCGGTTTCCTCCCACATGTAAACACTTATTAGTTGACTAATAACACCTTCATATATAGAGGACCGCAAAGCTTTGGGGGAAATTGGTGCCGGCTCACTGCAAAGTTGCCTTTTCTGCATGTCTGTGGTTCCTCGTGACTCCGAGTAATTATCTCCAAGAGCGAGAAAATACTGTGTGCGTTACAAGTTGAAATTATTATCATATCCTTCATGAGTAAAAATTGACTCGCGGCATATTTCTTGTATCACTTATAGAATCTCCCTGCTCAAGTGAGTGTAAGGCAGTGCTTCATTTCATTTGAGACCTTAAACTATTGGGGGAACTCCACAGTCCAAAGATCAGTCTCTTAATACGACAACTGTTCCGTCTTTTCATCACTTTCTCTTTTTTCTTCTTCAGGAGTGCAGGGGTGTTTGAACTTCCCTCCGTAGACCAGCACACCGTGGTAGTTGACTGGGAAGGAGGTGATGCAGACGATGGTGATGACTGCATTGGAGAGCGCGGGCAATGGGGAGATGAGGCAGAATCGCTGGTTTATGACCCACGGCACCACCCACTGACCCGGCAGGTAGGGCATCATTGTCACCATCAGCATCAGCCACTAATCTTTTCACTGCTGGATGAAGGCTTACCGATGCCATCGCCATCCCTCGCGGCCTGTGGTGTCACAATCCATCTTACTCATCCACTTGATCTCACTGCTCCATCATCGCGGTTGTAACCTTCTCAGCACATCCTGTCCATTGGTGGCCATTCCATCGTGTTCCTCGGCTATCATCCCATCTCGCGATGTGTCCTACTGGAAGGTGCCAACACGCGCTCCCTCCGTGCTTGAATCCCTCAGGTCCGGCGGATGGGGTTCTGTGTGCGGCACTGGCTACGCGGGAGAGCTCGCTACTGCTCAGCCCACACTCACTCCCGCAAGAGCTTTGCCGCCGCTCTCTACCTCCTCGCCATGCACCTCCTGCTCGTCTACCTCCTTGTTTGGTGATGCTCTCACTACTGCCGCCGCCCTCAGAAAGATTCGTGGAAATTGGCTTTTCAGTGCACAGGCAGTGTGAAGCCCATTCGCGACAGGAAGAAAACGGCAGAGCGACGGACCTAGTTCTTTACGGAAACAGGGCAATGCCTTTGAAGCGAAGGTCAACGTCACATTAAACTATTTTTGTTCTTGGTTCTTTCGGTAAAGTCACGTTGAAGGGAAAAAATAAAATAATAAAAAATATATAAAACAATAAAATTCTCACGACGTTTCGACTGCAACACAAGCAGTCATCATCAGGTGTGAAAACCAACGGCAAGAACATTTGAAAGAAGTGGCGGTTTGTATTTATTTATTTTTAAGCGTTAGCACCACGGAGAGCGATTTGACAGTTTGTTTAGATGGACGAGTCCATCTATGTTCGGAAAAGAGGAGGGGGGAGACGAAAAATTAATGTATGCTGTCTGAAAGCCACCGTAAGCGTGAACAATAAAAATTTAAACTATTTTATTTACCAAAAAAGGCCTACTGAGCTATTAGGCCTTTTTCAGACGCAGCCGGACCACATATGTGTAAATTTATATCGGGCAAATAATCAAAAGGCATGTTTTTAAATGTGGAGGAAAAAACGGGAAGACCCAGAGAAAAATCTACACAACCACGGGGAGAACATGCAAACTCCACATATACAGGTGTCAGGGTTAGGATCTCAACCCCACGACCTCCTGCATACTAGGGAGATAGCATTTCGTCATTCATAGCGATTTTAACGGTTAACAAACCAGCTGTTGTTGTCAGTAGGATACTTATACCCCAACGATGCACTAAAGTCTAAAGTTAGGGTTGGGGTATAACATTTTTCTTCAGGGGCTTCAGAAGATGATGTACATAGGATGTGAGTTTTGATAAATCGTATGCATTACATGCTGGGTTGTGGATTTCTTGACTATAAATGTTTTGGAGGAGTATAATAATACAGCTGTTTGACCAAGTGAGATAACAAACACTCATTGATGAGAAATGGCACCAAAAATTAATGTTGAAAATTATTGACAATTCTGAAAAATATCAGGAGACGTTTCAGACTTCAGGACTATCAAACTGCCAGCAGATCTTTAATCAATCTAGACCCCCATTGGCATCTCTGTCAGCAGTATGACCGCAAGTTCTACTGTGCACACAGTTTACTCGTTTTTGTAGCAGGAGGCAACTTCACCAAAATGAGTGAGAATTAACTGGCCTAATGGTTCCAGTCAAAGACTGTCTTGCTCTTTATTTGAGGGTATTAACAAAGCTGGCCAAATCAGCTTGAAAGGTGGATATTTCCACTGACATGCCTGCACTCTAACACTACAGTACACTGGATATTAAACCAGCCTTTGCATTAAATTATTTCTTAATACTGATAGTCATTGACGATGAAGCCAAATTTAATAAAGTTTGGCTCGTCGGATAAATACCAGTGAAGGTGGTGGTTTTATTATTGAGTGTGGAATCCCACTAGCTTGTATATACTGTACATGGCCCTCGTGCTGCTTGTGTGACAAGCATTCTTAAATGATTATTTATATTTCGATTTAAAGCTTTCGTGACTGCAATGATTCATCTTCTTTGGTTCTTTCGGTAAAGTCACGTAGAATGAGAATAAAATAATAAATTGATAAAATAAAATAACACAATAATATTCTCACGACGTTTCGGCCACAACACAAGCGGCCTTCATCAGGTGAAGGGAGCGAGACTGTCTGGTAGGACAGCGCTGGAGTGAGAGAGCCACGTTCAGATCACGGCTTTTAAGCTGTGTGAGAGGAACAAAGAGCCTTGACGAAGGAATTAGCATAAAATTTAGCATTGAAATGGCTGAATGATTAGCTTGTGACTGGTCACAGAAATAGCTATGTTAAAAGTTAAAGCATACACATCCGCAGAGGCACCCATTGTTAAAAGGAATTAGCATAGAATTTAGCATTGAAATAGCTAAATTAAGGCATACACATCCGCAGAGGCACCCCTTGATAATGGGATTAGCATAGAATTTAGCATTGAAAAGGTTGAGTGATTCGCTTGTAACTGCTACAGAAATAGTTACGTTAAAGTCAGAGCATACACATTCACCGAGGCACTTAGTACAAATCAAACAGGAGAATTTAGCATTGAAATAACTAGGCGAATTTAGCATTGAAATAACTGGGTGATTTGCTAGTGACTGGTCACAGAAATGACTACACATCTGAGCTATTCACAGTACTATATAGTGAACCAATAAAATATAAATTACCTTCATGTTATCAAGCTATCCGTGGTATGGAAATTTGAGGGTAAGAATCCACCCATTTTTTCGCCATATAGCATTGTGATATATAATGACTTATGGTTGGTAGCTTAGCTGATTGGAGAATATAGAGTTTATTGATAACATGAAGGTAATTTATATTTTAGTTTTTATTGGTTCACTATATAGTACTGTGAATAGCTCAGATGTGTAGTCATTTCTGTGACCAGTCACTAGCAAATCACCCAGTTATTTCAATGCTAAATTCGCCTAGTTATTTCAATGCTAAATTCTCCTGTTTGATTTGTACTAAGTGCCTCGGTGAATGTGTATGCTCTGACTTTAACGTAACTATTTCTGTAGCAGTTACAAGCGAATCACTCAACCTTTTCAATGCTAAATTCTATGCTAATCCCATTATCAAGGGGTGCCTCTGCGGATGTGTATGCCTTAATTTAGCTATTTCAATGCTAAATTCTATGCTAATTCCTTTTAACAATGGGTGCCTCTGCGGATGTGTATGCTTTAACTTTTAACATAGCTATTTCTGTGACCAGTCACAAGCTAATCATTCAGCCATTTCAATGCTAAATTTTATGCTAGTTCCTTCGTCAAGGCTCTTTGTTCCTCTCACACAGCTTAAAAGCCGTGATCTGAACGTGGCTCTTTCACTCCAGCGCTGTCCTACCAGACAGTCTCGTCCCTTCACCTGATGAAGGCCGCTTGTGTTGTGGCCGAAACGTCGTGAGAATATTATTGTGTTATTTTATTTTATCAATTTATTATTTTATTCTCATTCTACGTGACTTTACCGAAAGAACCAAAGAAGATGATTATTTATATGTTATAGACTAGCGCTGGTGTAATTAGCTATGGGCCTATTTTCAATTTAATCGTTGCGTTTTTCATGACAATTCTCTAGCATTAAAAACTGCTGTGGCGCAACTCGGACAGAAGAATGGACGAAGAAAATTACTCAAAAAAAACTTCAAAATTGTACACAAAAATTATGCAAATGACTCGGGACTCGAGGCACGTTAAAATGATCTCTGTTATGAAACCATTCTGTGTAATTTAAGCACAGGGCATTAAGCAAGCTCTGTGTTTGTAACAAAGTAATATTTAAACGGTGTGAATAATTTAACTTTCATTTTATAAGGGCCACAGCCATGTGTAAGTGTAGCAGTGGTGTGTGTAGCACGGGAGTGGCAGTAGGGGTGTGACGATGCGTCAATTCGTTGATGAATATTGATATTTGTGTTAAGCCTATGGTGCATGCATCAAACCCACGTGTGTAAAAATCAGATGTTTTTGTATGTGTGGTGTTTGTAATGTGCTTGTGACGCCTGCGTCCACCAGTGGCCAGTAAATTCACAGCGATGTATTTTATATTTGATTGAATTTCATTGTAAACCCAAATCGCGCCACAATTACTGAATCGCGAGGGAGGTGAATCGTTACACCCCACCCCCCCCTGCCAATGCCACAATTTACCGTGCATGACAATTACAGCTGGCCCTGCTGTAAGACACTGCATATTTAGGAGAGTGGCGAGGGTGGAGAACATTAAAAAAAATTGTGTTGTAATATTTCATAAAATACCAAAACGCTTGCGCTCAAAGTGTTCACAACCACCATAAAAGTATGCAATTGCAAATAACTACTTGAATATTTTTTAGACAATTGTTTTTATTAATGCTCATACTGAAATATTTATTTTAGATATACATTTAAATTGTTTTTCACTTTATTTTACCTGGAGATATGTGTGTAATCAAGTGCAATTAAATGATCCAGCTGCGATGAAGCAGGTTTTGACGTGTGTCTCTGATGACATGAACTACATGTGCGCCAACCCAACACCAGTGCATTCACATTGTGCTGATGATTACATTGGTAGGAGATTAACATAAGTGCCTGTTTCAACAAAGTTAATATTACATAAAGAAAATATATCCTGAAAGGGGAGCGAGGACAGGCAGTAATGGCACACCTCTGAAGTTGTGCAGGAGGAGGGTTTTCCCTAAATAAAAAAAAGCCGCTTAGCCATCATCTGCCATGGTAAACTCGCCACTCCCAGATGAAGGCCTCCCCAAGTCATCGCCATCCTGCACGGGTCTCACGCATGTGATTTAATTTCACGCCATGTCCCCGTGATGGCCGTCTTCTGGTGTCTTCTCTCCTTTGCCCTATTATGTAGTGTATGGAAGCAATATGTTCACAAGCTAAATGCTAATGTCGAGGTCTGCTAGCCAGGAAAGGGTTTCATGAGAGTTTGTGTCGTTTCGCTATTCCACCATTGAATGAGTGCAGACGACTGGTTTACAATACGGGCCATAATTTGGGTTGCATGGCCACGGTCGCAGTGTGACTTGTCTTTAATTTTCCATTTGTGAAAGGTGTACGCAACAGGCCTGTTAATGTTCTGATGCGGTTGATGATAATGCCAGTGTCTTCGAAGAATGTCAAAGCGCGGACGTTTGATAATTTGGTCTCAATCGAGTTTATTCTGGACATCGATGTTTCACTTCGCCAGAATTCTTCCAGATTTGGGTGAGATTCTAGAATAGTGCCAACACGATCCCAGAAGAGGGATCGAGACTTGAGTCAGCAGCGAGGTACATTGTTGAGATCTTGGTGGATTTTCTGGCTGGTTTTTGTTGGAAATAAATGTGAATGTCTGCGGATGTTTGGTGGCAGAATGTTCGCCAGAAGATGGAGCCAAGGGAGTTGGTGTCGGTTTAAGTGCTCCGATTGATGCGCATTACTTTACATAATTGTGAATCAAATAATTGTGTGTACGAACTCCCGGACCAGGCTGGAGCACAGCGACTGCCATCGAGTAGATCAGCGAGAGGGTGGCAGTTCGCAACAAATCGGCTGAGTCGCCCCAGTTCGTTCCTGCAAGTTTCGGTAGCAGGGCGATTCTTTCTTTGGTCTTTTCACAGATATGTTTTATGTGGGGCTTGAAGGTCAGATTTCTGTCCATAACCTCTGGAGATCGTGGAGTGTGGTCAGAGTGCA